GCGTGACTGCTTTTGCCGCCCTGGCAGAATATCCTCTCTTGTTTAAACACATTTGTATACAGTCCATCACGTGTAGTTGGAACATTGCTGGGTTTCCGTGCACTTGTTTGGTGTGAGGATGAATTAACAGGTTTCTTGGCGCTTGGGTAGCTCCAGTGTTGGTTGACCGATTTCTTGAATTAGTATGGGAAACCACGTTCTGGCAACCCGGCCAGTAGCTGCGACCAAAGTGAGTTGTAGGCTCTGTGTTTGTCTGATTTTCTGTAATACTTGAGGTATTATTGCTTGCTGGAAAGCAGCGTGCACGCATTGAGGCCTTCCATGATAGACTTGGAAGAGTCCGTTGCCCAAGCTTGGGGTCTGGGACTGGTGACACGAATGTCGGTAGCTGATTGTTGAATCAGCGTGGCCGAATAGGTCTATTAAGTGGCTCCTAATTGCTTGATTATCTGTGCAAAATTTCCCGGTTGATCATCCACTCTGTCGGTGATGGTAGATGAGGGCGAGAGAGTCTGCCTACTAGTATATTTCTGGCTCGGGGAATGTGCACTGCTTTGACATGTAGATTTAGATCTTGTATTAAATCGAACAGTTGAAAGCTTAGGTTCAAAAGGTTCATCGATCTCGTTGAGCCTTGCTTGTTTATAATAGAAGCGCCACTGTCGAATTGTCTGTATGGATCATTAAGTAGCATTTTGTAGAAATGTGCTCCAATGTAGAATGGCGTTGATTACAGCTTTCATTTCTAGACTGTTTATATGGAGTTTGCATTCTTGCTGATTCCATAACCCTGATATCGTGTGGTTGGTGAGATGAGCTCCCCAACCTTGGAGTAATGGCGTCTACATACAGATGGGTTTTGTATTCCTGCTCTGCTAAACAAATCCCTTCGCAGACATTCGATTTCTTGGTCCACCATAGTAGATGTGGTCTGAGATGTTTCGGTAGACTGAATGGTTGTACATCGTTGAGATGTCGTTGATGAGGACCTGTGAGGGGCGTAACTGTAATCTACCTGTGACAGTCATGTCTTGGGCTGATGTGAGAAGACCTAGTAGGCTCTGCCATTATTCGCGGTGGTTAGCGAGAGTAGAGCTGGTGGAATGGTCTGTTGTATCTTGAATAGCGGTCTTCTGGTACCATAAATACGGTTGCCATTTGTGATGAGATCGAATACCTAGGAACTGTAGGTCTTGCGATGGTACTAGGTCCGACTTAGCGTAAGTTTACTAACCAACCTAGTTGTGTTAGTAGCTTTATGATGTAATTTAACTGTAGTTTGAGGCATGGTGGATCTTGATCTACTTGTATCCCGTCGTCGAGGTAAAAGCGCTGCGTAGCCCGCGGCTGCGATGTAGAAATTTGATGTCGGTTTAGATTATCCTCGTGAATAGCCAGGGGCTGATGATATTCGAGATGGGAATTACTTTCCACTGGTAATGTAGCCCTTCTAGAAAGTAAATCGTAGGTATTTCCTGGAATCGGGATGAATAGGGATGTGCAAGTAGGCATCCTGTAGATCTATGCTGCCCATGTAGTCCATAGGGGACGAATCATCTGGCGTAACTGAGGTAAAATGTATCATCTTGAAACCCGATTGGTTTCGCGTGGAGATAGTTCTTGTTGAAAAAGCTCATGTTGTATTTCTCCGTGGAGTTTTCTTGGGAACTAGGAAAACTGGGGAGTAGAAACCTGGTTCGGCCCGTTTGCTTGATCTATTACTTCTATGGCCTGTTTGGATAGGAGTGATGAGACAGCCTCTTTTATCTTTGGTAGTTGTTAGGCTTGTAAAAATCGAACTTGGGGGTTTGATTGTCAGCGGAGGCTTGTCCTGTAGAGGGATCACGAAATCCGTGTTGAATAATGTTGGAGGCAGTAAGGATCTTGCAGTATTCCCCAGTTTTCCCAGTAGTTGTTGGGCGTCCACCCACTTGAGGCTGGTTGTACTGGAAGCTTGGCTGGGGTGGAAGACTCCAGTCGTTCGAACCTGTGTTTCAGAAGCGTCTATAATTGCGGGAACCTCTGGGTGTCCTGCCTCTTCCTGATCCTCCTCTATAGTTGCCATATGGGCGTGAAAGAATCTTACCTCTAGAGCTGGCTATCTTCCTGTCTCTTGCTCTTTGTAGGCCCGTGAACTTAGATCTGCCTGAGTATCTTTTTGAAGTCCTGACGAATGGCTTTAGCTAGTGTGTCCATCGATCTAATCATAAGGACTTCCCTGGAATCCTTAGAGACTTCCTTGGCGACCTTGTCGATTTCTCCGTCAAAGATGGATGTTGTGGACCAGGGGCTGTATAAAGTGGGGCTGTAAAAGTTCTCCCCAATTACAGAGGCCGAGGAGGCCTTGACTGACGAGAGCTAAGGTCAGTGCTGCTGAAACAGATGTAAGATGATCCGTTAAAACTGCTGATCTTTCTTTTTGCATAAGTAAGGCAGAATAAATCATTCTATCATCTTCCGTCAGTGGAATCCGGAATCTAGTAATAAGAGTCTCATTGATCGTCCTAGATCCTATTTAACCCAAAAGAACATCGTCGTCGTCATGGTTTCTATATGAGCCAACTTGCGATCATCCATCTTGTGGAAATCTTGTTCTTTACATGAAGCTGATGATCTTATAGTTCTCATCGATGTCCTGGAGCCTTGTAGAAGGAGTCCATGTTATCGTGGAGAACTTCTTGGCTTGAAAGTTGGGTAGATGTGGTATCTGAACTTTCGTAGCTTTCTGGAAGCTGCATCTAGATTCTGTGGCACTGCATGTCCGAATTCGATCCGGGGTAGAGTGATTGCATCTGGATCATCTTCCTTCATCAAATCGTCTGAGCTGTATTGCCACTTTTAGATGGTGATGTGAGATCTAGGTTATTGACCATCCAATGCCGTATCTCTGCATCCAGAAAATATGATTCCTCCATCATCCTCAAAACCATCATCATTAATAAATTGTAGATGCTCTTCGGGACTGCGTGTAGCTATCTGAATATCTGATGAGGTTTGTGGCGATCTAATTGACAATCGCGCGCTCTATGTGGAGATCTGATGGGTGGTCGACCTGGTGATGAGCGCAGTGGAGAGTCGTCTATGGGATGATCTTCGGAGACTTGTGAGGTGAATGTTGATAACCCAGCGAAGCTCTTCCGGCAGTCCCTCGATGTTCTTCTAGGCGATGAAGATCTGGAATCATATGTCTTTCGCGAATGCCTTAGCGAAGCTTCATTCGCGTCGGTCCGAGGGGATCGATGATATGACTTAGCCGAAGGCTTCGTGATGTCTGATGGTCTGAGTCCATATCTAGAGATGAAATCGAAGATGGTGATGATCTCTCCGCCAGCGAAGGCCTTCGCGAAGACTGTACATCTAGAGTCGCCGTCAAGGTGGTGCGGGACTTCCTTGGCGAAGGTGACATCGTCTTAGCACTTCGTTGTGGGGGTGCCTCTAGGGGTGCTGTCTCGTTGGAGCCTTAGCGAGGCTTCGGACCCTGCTTGCGCAGTTTGTAGTGGTCCTCCATGATGTTCATAATCTCGCATCATGTCTTCTGGGATGATCTGTGGCCGAAGTCGTCGAGCGTCTTTTCTGCGATGGGGTTCACATCAATGGCGTCTGGCGTCGGTGTAGAGCATCAGGCTGCATGGAGATCTCTGCAGAAGTCACAGTCGCTGACGCGGTCGCTTCTTCTTCTGCGTAAGTCGGGGATGATTATCGGCTGATCATGCGTAGAGCCCAACTCTGCTGCTGGAGCGATCTCGGCTGAGAAAGTTCTTGCTGTCTTACGTGGGATTTCCCTTTGGAAGTCGCTGCCCTGGGTGTCCTCAATCTGCGTTGAGGCAGCGATGAAGACCCTCTTAGACTTAGTCTGCAATGGCCGGGATGTCTGGGGAGGCGGTCGTTTCTTCGAGGATAACGGACTGCGTCCGCGTTCCTCTGCCGCGGGGTCTCTAGCAGAACACCAGGCGGGAGAGGGTCGATCGCTAGCAGCTGACTGGAAGGAATATCTGGACTCTCTGCCATGTTTTGCCCTTGTTTTGCGTGATCTATCTGCAGCCGCGTCTTAAAGGCATAAAGATGATATTTATTAAATGCAGAATGAGATAAATTAATGCAGTAACTGCAGCGTGAATTAAGCGCACGGCAGTAGAACAACTAGGGCATATTACATGTGGATGAGGAGGCAGAAAAGCGTAATCTACAAATCGTACAGATTTTCATGAGCGTAAAGCTAGCTGAACAATCCACGAATACTGCATTGAATAAACGGTAGAAATCACGATGAATTAATCAATACAAATAGTAAAGGATACTAGCTATACCTCTATAGTAACCTATGAGGGAGGTAAAACTAAGAGATTATCAAAGGATATGTGTGTAAGGAGACACAAGGCTCTCACATCCTGCTCACTGGGAAGAAGAAGGAGAGTGGAGCACATGGCCAGAGGGTGGCGACACCTTTTCCGCCAGGGAGACAAAGGGGAGCAACTTCGTGGTGAGTACCAATTAGTGATTTTATTTTTGAAGGGGCTTCAAATAAGGAGATACAAGTGTTCCACTATGTTGCAAGAAGAAGAAGACAAGCAAAGAGCATGAGTCAGGATGATGACAAAATGTTATGATTGAGTCATATTATCACTGGTCAACTTATTGGTGAACAAAACTACAACAAATTGGGATCTCAAAAACTTATATTAACTGTTTTGAAACTGTACCCTGACTTAAGCGAATGAATGAACTTGCCATGAGAATGACAGTGTTCATGAAGGCCTTTCCAAGGCATCACTATGGCTGTATATGGCAATCCTCGTTTAACCCCTCATGACCTTGACATATGTCAGTAAATAAATGATAGAAGAGAGTACCGAGCAATTTATCACAGGGAATCCACTGTTAACAAAAGGTGAAACAACAACAAATTCAATCAAAGTTAAAATTCTGGAAATCAGATTAAGCTGCCTCATACAACAGGTCTGTGTTTTTACCTACTCCAAAAGTAAATGTCACAAACTCACCCTCAATGTGCTTGGCTGACACATCCCCTTCAGTAGCTGCAGAGGCACCTTTTTCACCACCAGCTTTTCCATCATCGAACACTTTCTTAAACTGGTCAGCTATCTCCTTGTTCTTAAACTTAATAGCTAGTTGTTCCACCTTGCCCTCTCCCTCAGAGAAGTCCTTGGCATACCAAACCCATGACTTTCCATCACCTGAGCCCATTGGCTTGAGTTCCAGTTCAGGGGTAATCACATGATTGCAGCACACTTTGAAGATCTGTTCTCGCCTCATCAGAAGTCGGTAGCGGTGGGAAGTTTTGTGTTCCAGAATCTTCATAGTGCCAAGACCTCTCTCCTTCCACTCACCCTCACTGAACCTGAACAGGTAAAAGAAACAACAAGTGTATGATAGCTTCATAGTATGCCATACAAACATTTATTTATGAATAACCTTGACCCCCTGGCATAAGACAAAGTCATAAATGATATATCCCCTATCTCTGAGAAAAAAAATCTTGAAATGTGTCATTATTTATATATTTATTATAAGACACTTTTATAGCGTAAATGTCCACACAACTCATACATGCTCAAGGCGGCTGTTTTATCCCCTCGATCATTGGATGTCAATCTCAACAGCACATCATATTATCATTCTCAACTCCTGGGGAGCATACAACTCTTGCAGCTAATAGGAGCACCCAAGTTATTGCGCGTCTTTCCCATCCTTACAAGGTGGAATTGGGGTACATCAAAACCAGCTCTTGAGCCATGGTCTATTTAAGGAAGATTTGTCTCCGTGTGTCCAACAATTCTGAGGAGCAGGATACAAACACAGTAAGCAGAAGATGACTATCTCATTTGTTATACACTGAAGATTTGTTGCTTGTTTCATGCATACTCAGCCATATTCCAGTCTGAACATGCCTATGAAGTGACCATTGTTGTACACAACAATCGACACCATCATTTACCATGACAAACTATCACATAAGATTGATCACAAGATCCATTAAATTAAGCCTAAGAACCTAACCTACTCAGGAATCCACAAAAAGAGCTACACACCTGAAGAGTTTTGCCCTCTGTTCAAACCCGGGTAACTTCCTCCTCTTCCCCAGTCTTCACATCCACTTTGTCAGGTAAAGACACAATAGGTTCAAAATAGATGTGGGAGTCCTCTCCTTCCTTATTGACATAGTAGTCCCCCTCTGGAGACTTGGGTGATGTCACAGTGGTCTTGGATTGAGGAGTCTTTGATGGGGTAAGGCTGAAGGTGAACTGAAATGGGGAGCCGATTTCTTTCTTTTCTTGGTTCTTGACTGGAGTTGAGACCTTTCCAAGATTGAACTGGAAGCCTCCATCCTTCTTGGCAGAATCAGCTGCAGAAGCAAAGTTGAATCCTGATGATTTGGGAGTAAGGAAAACCGGATGTAGCTGCTGAAGATGCTGCAGTTGTCTTAGGCTGAGGATCATTTGACTGTAGCATCTCTGCCAGGAGGCCTCCAGTGGTAGAATCTGCTGGCTCACTTTTAGCTGGTTTTGCTGGAGTGGATGCGGCAGAAGAAACTGAATCCATCACTATCAACACCATCCAGCTTGAATCCACCTCCTCCAAGACTAAATCCTCCGGGTCCCTATTGTGGATGCACTTGACTTAAGTATGTTTTGGCAGCCTCTCTACCCGGATCAACTGCAGTTTCCTTTGGAGAGTCTTTACTGGTAGGCTCAGCCTCTTGTGCTGGTTTTGAAGCAAATGAAAATCCACCACCTGATGATGCAGAACCAAAACTAAATCCTCCACCTTCTTGCTTCTTGCCAAGACTGAACCCTCCCCTCCTGCTGCTCCACCAATCTGGAATCCTCCCTCACCAATTTTAAAGCCTCCACTGGAGATACCTGCATGGGTTTGGCTGTTTCTGCTTTCTTAACTTCCTCTTCAGCACCTGGCTTGATTGTATTGCATGCTGGACATTTCAGCTGCTCACCCTTGTTCACACAGTAGCATCCTTGACATTCCCAGCTTCCAGTTTTAGGCTTGAACATGTCTGCTAAAGACTTCTTTCCCCTTAGGGTCCTCTTTTTCTCAGCTACCTCACTGCTTCCTATAGCTTCAGGTATTGGTTTTACTGGTGAGTCTTCTAACATATTTTGGTATTTCTCAAAACATTCTTTGAATTGACAAGCCAGTTCTGGAGTCTTGAACTTGATGGCCAATTTTTCCATTTTCATTTCCTCCTCTGCAAAGTCCATTGCAGACCAACACCAAGCTCTGTCAGAGCTGGTCATTGAGTGTCAGTTTCATGTCTTTTGTTATGTTGTGATTAGCACAAATCTTCAAAACTTGCTCCGTCTCATCAGAATTAGGTATTAGCGTTTGGCAGCCTTATTGTACAGAATCTTTACCTCACCAATGCCCCTTTCCTTCCACTGATTGGTATCAGCATCAAACCTAAACAGCCTGGCCCTCTCCCAAACAACTTCTCCTCATCTTCTTCCCTGTCTTCATTTCCACTAAGTCTGGCAGATCAATAACTGGCTTAAAGTCCACATTGGGTTCATATTCCTCAACCCTTTCCTCATCTTCTCCCTTGCTTGGGGAGTCATGGGTTGTCTTTAATCCAGAGAATCCTGTTGCTGAAGTATTGGCAGCAAGATTAGAAAAACTAGGCATGGGGCTTCCAATGTTTTGTCCAAGAGTGAAAATAGAGCTAGCAGCTGAAGCAGATGAGGGTCCAACTGTAACTGGAGCTTGTTGAGTCATGGGTTTGGTTTGTGTAAAGGTAAACCCAGCAAAGGCTTGGGCTGATTTGCTGCAACAGTTCCACTTTCAACTGGACTGGTTACCTTGAGGGAGCTTTCCTTCAGTTTGACTGTTGGTGATGCTTTTGACTTGTCTTCGGAGTCTTTATCACTGGGGTACCACTGAATGTGAAGCCACCAAAGATGGCTTTGGTGTTTCTCCAGACTGGACAGTCTTCTCCTCTCCTTGTTTGGCAGACAGGGCTGCAAGGGCAGCTGATGCAGGCATTCCTGTCTGAGCCTGGCCAAACACTGCAGGTGAAGATCCAGTAGGGGTCTGTGTCGTAGTAGGTTTAAAGGCCTGAGACCCTGATATGGTGAATGGTGATGGAGTTGCCACAGCTGGTTTTGGAGGTGAAGCTTCAGACTTCTTGCCAGCTTCCTGGATTTTCTGAAGAACTGACTTCAATTTCTGAGCTAGTTCAGCATTATCAAAATTCAGGTTAACAGTCTCCTCTCCCTTCCCGTCATGCTGGGGTCTCTTCCATGTGACTAGCGTTGGGGTGAAGGATGCCACCAGCTTCAGTGTATTGATATCATGGTTGAGAATAATCTGGTTTGTTGATAGAGTCTCCATCCTCACCCGACCACCCTTCTCGGCACCGAAGAAAAACACTTTGACATTTCCTTCCTGCTTGGCACCAATCTTCGATGTGTAGGTTGCTTTTCCTTGGAAAATGCAAACAACTTCAGCAGTGGACGCACTGGGGGAAATGGTTGATGTCACAGCCCTGTTAACAAGATTCTGAGCCTGCGCTTGTGGTATCTGACTAAAAGGTTGAGGTGGAGTAGGGACTGCCTGAGAACTAGTCCCCTTGGTAAGAGGTGTTGAAGCAGTCTTAACACCAGCCCCGAAGTTTCCTGATGTGAAGATTGGCTTCTGAGCCATCTGTGATGCAAGGGTTGTAGCAGGCTGAGGCTGAGGTTGAGGTTGAGGTTGAGGTTGATGCTGAGGTGGAGGCTGGGGCTGTGGTGCTGCTGGCTGGCCCAGATACTGAGGAATAGCTTGAGCAGCAGGACTTGGTACTCCTGACTGAATCTGTGCAGGTATTCCTCCTATGTTGTGAGGAGAATCCTTGCCCATGATGGCAGCATATAAGGAAGGTGTCTGGTTCATTGCAGATGCTGTAGTAAGGCCATGGGGTGAGGAAAAGTATCCTGGACCTGGCATCGATGTAGCTATGTTAGATTGACCATACTGTATCGACTGTCCCCTCAGAGATGAGGCAAAGAAGCCACTTTGAGGCATCGGAGGTCTGTTCTGGGGTGCATAGGTTACTGTGGAACTTCCCTCAATGCCCGCCCTGTTTCCATACGGCCATTCAAGATGTGAGTCTGGCACATAATACTGCCCATGAGGGTGGGCTAAACTTTCCTCAAAGAACTCTCCATCGATGAAGTAAGGATTTTCATCATCATCATCCCCTTCAACAACATTGGACTCATCCTTGCCTATGAAGCCAGTGTGTCCCATGAGATTGGTCCTACTGCGTGAACGAGGGGATGGAGGTCTGTAGCCAGGTAAGCCTGCTGGACTAGGCATCTGGTATCCAAACTGAGGTGGACCCATTCCTTGAGGAGGGGGGTATTGAGGATGGTAGGGTGAGGCCATGTGAGGTCCTGGGGTAGACAGGCTGGAGTAGTTGTACTTCTGGCTCAAGTTAAGTTGGGACTGAAAACAGGAAATTGTTTTCTGTTATAAAATCATGTTGGTAACGAGGTTGATACACAAGTATTATGAGAAGTATTTCAGTCTATTGTGTTTTTATGCCAAACCCAGCAGTATTCCTGCTATATGACAGATACTCTCACATGACTGTTTCGGGATCAGACAAACAGTGATCAATATTGTAAGCAATACTGTCAGGAAACAGTTATCAACTAAGTCATCTAAGCTGACCACCCAATCCACTTGGCTGGCTCGTTCTAGTAGCATTGGTTGCAGGGGATCTATTCTAACCAAATATCCCCCCACTGTAAAAACATTTGATCAAAAAATATCCATAGAGTTAAGAGAGAAACTGACATGGTGTTAGCCTGTCTAACCAAGGTAAACCAATAGTTGAGATCATGAATGAGTGAGTAAGTGAGTTTAGTTTTACGCTGATTTTAGCAATATTCCAGCAATATCACGGCGAGGGGACACCGGAAATGGGCTTCACACATTGCAGCCATGTGGGCTTGAGATCATGAACATTCTGAAGTAGCCTTCTTTAGTAGGTAGTTCAAATATAACATTGAGCAAGAGACTTGATAAATGCTTTGGCAATAAGACGAAAATGGACATACAACTGATGTGATGTAACAATTACAATCAATGTGGCACATCCCAAATTACAGGAATTATCACTACACAACTACAAACTGCACCTTAAGCTGTGTGATAACCTCCCTGTTCTCCCTCAGGGCCTCCACAAGCTGGCTGTTGATCTTGACCAGCTCCTCATTGCGGGCAAGCACCATCTTAACCAAGGACTCTTGGGAGTAGGCCAAGGAGCGGATCTTGGCATCCATGTGCTCTGGACTTGGTCGGATGTGTCGGCTAGCCTATGGAAGAATAGGAAATGTTGTCGGTTGTCAACTCACCAACGGAATTACCAGGTGAAACAACCCACACATACAAATCAGCTAAAGTTAAGCTGAGCCCTAATGCTTAATAGTAAAAATAGAAATTCAAATTAGTATATGGACAAGCTTGAAGGGCCATTTCATTGGTAAGATAAATATATGTTCCTTTGATGTGAGGTATCATGTATTGTTAGATGATTATCACTTGTTATTTTTTGCTACTTACATCAGATGTGTTGAAGCTGACTTGAGCTGCTGGAGACTTGGTCCTGGATTTCTCCCTGGGCGTGCTGTGGTCAGGGGATGACACGTCTCCATCCAGCTGGATGGCTGTAGGAGTGTGATACTGACTTGGCTCCTCATCCTCATCCCACTCTGTCAAACATGGCAGGGTTTTCAATTTTCTCTAAACTGTTACATCTCCAGGGATAATATCAAATTCTAATTCTCAGCGAGTGAGTGAGTGAATGAGCTTAGTTTTACACCGCTTTTAGCAATTTCCAGCATTATATCGCGGACACCAGAAATGGGCTTGACACATTGTACCCATGCAATGAATCGAACCCGGGTCTTTGGTGAGACGAGCAAACACTTTAACCACTAGGCTACCCCACTGCCAATTTCTAATTCTCAATTGATGTCAGTATATACGTGATATTATGACATGAGGGGGACATGTCTTGAGTACAATTCCCCATTACTATCTCCCACCTTGATAGTGCTGAAATACTGCTGTGAAAGCCACCTTGCCACTCTAATATTTCCATGGCAATACTTAAAAAAGTCTGATTGCTGTTTTATGATACTACCAGCAAAAATCAAGCTATACTGTGTAGTGTTGAAAATCCCATCTTGACAAATCAGACCCGGGACTGACAACCTTGTTATGTCTCAGTGCAAGAGCTCTCAGTCACAATTTTGGGTTCCAAAGCAATCTACAGTTTGAATTATTTTAAATGATTCAAATAGCCAAGTACTTGCATCCCCCAATCCTGGAAAGCACAGTACTGACATCCATGCACAATGTGTGTGCTCAAAGAATTTCATATTTAAGTGTCCAGTAAAACCATAAACAGTACAAGAACTGACTCAATACAAAACAGCCGGTTCATCCATTACAGCTATATACCCAGTTAAGGTAAGCTCATGCCACATGCATTGGGAACAATTCTGTTACAATACTTAATGTGACACTCAAGTAGGAATTAATAACACGTTCACCTACCTGACACACACTGCAACTGTGACTCAACATCATCCAGAAGCCGCTGCACTGACTTGTTCAGTTCCTGGAAAATAATCAACACCCTTAGCACAGTATAATCAAACAGAGCAAATCAGACCATACAAACCATATAATAGTGCTATCCAATTTCTCATGCCAAGTTCAAGCTGTATACCTGGTAAGATCACTTAACACTCAAACTTTATTTACTTTTAACACATCTGACCATAAGAATATCTTGTATCAACAACAAACTATCGGCATGATAAGCACAATATGAAATACACATTAAATAAATTACACACAACATATTTTCATTTAATATGCCTTTTTCAAAAATAATATCCTTGTCTTAATTTTAAGATGAACTGCAAATGTTTTTGTTTTGAACCTGGAACACTACTACAGAAATCCAAATTATCTAAAATGTGTAGCTACATGTAAATGGCAATTTCATGATGCTTTCAACTGCTCTCTGCTTATTTTCAACTGTCACCTTTTAGTGATATATACAGTGGCATTGTACTGGCATTCAAGGAGGTATTCTGTTCGGACAGGATATGGGAAATTAAAAGTAGGCTGGTGTCATCAAGAAGTATAGGTTCAATGTGGACTGATCAGTATACACTCACGTGTTTCTTATCTCCTTGCAGAAGGTCAAAAGTACGGAAAATGGCATCCCGAGCTTTTGTTAAGAGAATCTGGTGTTGTTCCCGTCCTACAGGAGCGTCCCGAGATCGCTCCTGCTCTGCTAGAACCTTGTATATCTACAACAGGAGAACACTGTCAAACAGTTTCGTTTTACAGCAACCTCAACCACAAGTTTACTGCACGAAGCCTACTGCAGTTAAATTTAAACTTGGTTTTGATGCATAATCCACAAAGCACATTATGAATCTATTCAGTGTTTGAAATTAAGCATGCAAGTTGTAACGATACGATGAGGCAGCAGGACCAAGTTATGACAATTGAGTGTGTCTGTGTTCTCAAAATAAATCTATAAATCTGTCCATACACGTTATAAACAACAAATACATTTCACAGCAGGAACTGTGTCCTCTTTCACACATCAATAATCATGTTTGTTAATCCATCATAACATCACTTACCTTTGCTGAGTTGAGTGAAGCATATGGTGTGTGTAGTTTGTCAAATATGTTGATAGCTTCCTCATGCTTGTGCTTCTTCATGGCTGAACAACCAACGGCATACTGGACCTCGGACATCAGCACTTTGATGATGGCTTCATCCAGGTCCTGGTCTGTGTCATCCTTGAACAGTCGGTGCTTTGGCACTGGGGGGTTCCGGTTCCTGGCAACAAACAGCACACTAACACTCCATGTTCTGTCAGACATAAAATGCTAACTAGGGTCTTAGACTAGCTTTACTTGTCACCCAATAAATCCTGAAGAATTGCTTTCAAAGTTGTTAAGATAAACAGTCATCAAATTTCCTGCCAGGTTGCCAAAAGGCTTCTAAATTATGCTGAGAAACAGTACATATTCAAAGATGGTAGCCTCACTGAGTAGCACCATTTGAGGGATATAACTTTTGGTCTGCTCTAAATGCTTTGCTTCACTTTTTCTATTAATTGGAACGAACAAAACGCACAAAAAATGAAACATGGTACACATTTTCATCTAGTACAAGTAGACGAAGCAAAATCATTGCTTTGTGTGTTGATATTGCATATGAATGCATCCACAAAAAATGTTTATGAGGGCTATTATTGATATTGGTGTACCTGAATCTCAAAAAGTGCAGAACATTATTAAGACAGTACTTCAATAATATCAACACAATCAATGGATGACAGTCCAATTTGGGAAGAAAGCAAAATCTCATGCACGTCAAAGATGATTACCACTTCTGTAAACAAAGACTCAGGGTGAATTCTAAACTGTGGAGGATAAGAAATTGTTATTATCAAACCCCAAGGCTTGAAATGAAATACATTGGAGAATTACCTGCGTTATGTGCAGTGTTCATCTTAACACAGACATTTTCAAATCTAGGCAGTAAAACAAATGAAGTTGAGTGTTTTTAGAAACAGACATCTCCTTGGTGAAACCCATTCATGTTTTATTTCAACTAAACTGTTACACAGGGTTCATCTGATACAACCCACAAGGCAAGTGTCCAATCTTCATGCAGTAAGATATATATCTGTAAACAGGGTTCATCTGATACAACCCACAAGGAAAGTGTCCAATCTTCATGCAGTAAGATATATCTCTGTAAACAGGGTTCACTTGATACAACCCACAAGGCAAGTGTCCAATCTTCATGCAGTAAGATATATCTCTGTAAACACTCTGATTTAAATGAGATGGACCACATTTAAGACACTTAGAATTCTACAAATACACATCCTTGCCCTTACTTTTCGAGTCGGCTCAACATTTCCAGTGCCTGCTCCCAGTAGAACTCTGCTCTGGTCTCAGTGTCAGTTGCCTTCACTGTCAACTCCGACCCCAACTGCTTCATCTCCGTGGCCTTCACCTCTAGTGATCTGGCTATGTGGATGATCAGGTTGACGGACATCCCGTGACTAGCCACTAGACGGACAGTTTCTATCCCTCTCTGCAGGGTGTGACGCATCTTGGAAAAGTTGTCCCTATGGTCAAATAAAATAGATGTCCTAAATCATGTGAACACTTTTGATCCATACATAATACATCAGAAATAAAAATAGGACTACAATTGGGCAGGGAGAGGATGAAAAGGTGATAGGGGGGAGAGTGTCCAAAGCAGATTAGTCAAGTATACTGGTAACAATGCAGAACATGCTCATTCTTATGCATGGAACAAATACCTAGCAGATTATCGAATAGTAAATACTGCAATCTCCTTTCATAAACAATTTTAGTGCACTTATTAATAATGCACCTAAAAATTGTGAACATTTTTTAATGTGTTGCAATCAGCAATACCAATTCCATGTAACAGTAACTGGACAAGCAAATATTCAAATCTGGACCAGAGAAAACAGTAAAACAATATTATGAGCATCAGGTATACTTGTAACAGTTTGCAAGAACACAGTTATGAGAATGAATGAGAGAGTGCTGTATACAAGCTACATGAAACCTACTTGACTGTGTTTGTATGGAATTTATAAGCTGCCAGCCACCAGTCTGCCTGCTCCTGAGAACAAAGTGGTTTTGTCAGACACAGGGGTAGAAAGTCCGGCTGTGTGGGGTCAGTGTGACCCATGTGAATCATCTCCTGGTGTCTCAATGCTGCACAGCGAACTGAAGCAATCAGAAACACATCTGTGTCCAGCTGACACAGGGACTCGGCCCCACCAACAGACATGTTTTTAACACTGTACACACAATTCTCAAAGATGTCAAAGCCGTAGTAAGGCTGAGCCTTGTCTTTACAGGAGTACCGTTGGAGTGCTAGCCAAATGAAGCTGGTAAGACTGTGTGGGTGGAGCCTGTAGCAGCCTAAGTCAAAGGATCGCATCTGGGGCCGGGTGGGAAACAAGAGTACACTTTCCTCGTAGATCTGGTTCTTCATCAGGTAGGAACTATCTTTCTTTGCTCTCATATCCGGCTGGGTAAAGAGGGTGTCGTAAAGCTTCTCTCGACCTTGTTGTGTGCAATATTGCTGTCTCAGTTTCTGAGTCCATGTTGCCGTGTCTCCTTTACCCAGTGCATGTAGGGTGTGGCCTGTGGAAGAAGTTGAAATATGATGGTACTGATCTCCCGTAGTCAATTTGGCATAACAGTGAACACTAAACAAACTATCCTCGATTAATAATGTAGCACTTAATAACCCTTTTCAAATTTCATCCTTGTCTCAAGCTTCCAACAGAAAACCAGGGTTTACCTTGACCTTCAAAACTACAGGTCCAGAGGTTCTTCAACTACAAATCTCCATGATCCTTACAGAAAAACCTGGGATGTTGTGAAATGCTGTAAGACTTTCTAAATTTAACAACAGGAACATTAGATTTATAGTCAAGAAGAATTTTTCAGCTAAGTTACATCTGTTACATAAAAAACAATAAACTGAGTTAACGGTTAATCTCACATTATTATTCATGTCTTTTTTAAGGGAATTCTTTAGTGTTAGATGATTTCCCTACAAGAACTGATGACATTTGTGATAATCTTTCAAATAACCAATATTTTGCATGCCTCATCATGAGATTAATCATAAATTGTCATTATGCTTTAAACCAACATCAGAATAAGACATGAACCATCACAAAAATTTCATCTGATACTGTGATCACGTGTGCTGGAATCAATCAATCTCACTTACGCCAGGGAGTATCAATGGGCTCGATATTCTTTAAAATGAAACACCAAATTAAATTTTAGAATGTATGTTTCTTAATATGTTTGATAAATCAAGACATAAACAAAACTGCAACATAAACAACATAAACGTGCACATGTCTCAACAGGAAGTGTCCTTGATTGTCTTGATCTCGGTATCAATTGGTGCCTGTCTTGTTTACACAATGTTATGATTGAGTTTTGTGGTGGTATTTAAAAATGTAATTTTTTAAGAAAATTTGATATTTTATACTTATCCTGACTCATGATCTTTTGCCATTCCTTACCAAACTGAGATAAAGAACTGCTTTAAATAGTTAAAACAAGGATTGTATTTCATGACCTATGCATAACTGCCATGAGTGAACATAGAGAATATCAATCCTGATTCTTCAATGGTTTACATGTACTGAGTTACCACACAAGACAGGGAAGTCTATCTTCTATTGGATCTAGTTAATATAAAAACACAGAAAACACAGAAATAATCACAATCTACACTCAAAATGTAATTTTTTAAGTAAAATTGATATTTTATACTTATCCTGACTCATGATCTTTTGCTTATCTCCTTCTTCTATGCGAATGGTAGTGGAACACTTGAATCCCTTGTAGTTCCCTTAAGCGGACATAAAAGTTCACTCACCCACAAGTTACCTCCCTTTTCCCGCGCAAAGTCATGCGACCAGCCATACTTGCCACTCTCTCCTTCATCGCCCAAGCGGATGGTTGGGCAAGCACTGGAGTCCCGTATACGGCATTATATCCTTTACATGTAGATCCTTTTATCCAAATTGTGTTGTGTATGGTTTTCGGTTGTAACTAGCTTGCATTATATGTAAAAAATTTGAAGAAATTATTTGTATTTTGTGACTTATTTCATCGTTATGTAGTTGTTTACATTTGATGAAATCTTGCAGTGTTTGCAGGTTCCGGCTATCAGTGGCTGATCCTCACCCCCAATGCCCGTCATGCATTAATCCATGCTCTTCCACCTTGCGTTGTAGATATTGCATTGATTGAAGCAAAAGATCATAAGTCAGGATCAGGAAAGAATTTACAATCTATTATTGATCGATTGATATTGTGAGTGAGTTTGGTTTTACGCCACTTTTAGCAAAAGTCCAGCAATATCACGACAGGGGACACCAGAAATGGACCAGACATTGTACCTATGTGGCAAATCGAGCCCGGGTCTTTGGCGTGACGAGCAAACACTTTAACCTCTAGGCTAACCCCACCGCCCCGATTGATATTGTGAGAGATAACCAGTACTAGTGATTACTGAGTAATTCCCTCACCTCCCTGGCTGCCGGAAGTTGCTGATCATGTGCAGATGATCATACATGCTTTTCTTGTCCATGCTGGCTGACACAAACCACTCAGATCGTGAGTCTATGGTGAGGATGGAGTTGTTAAGAAGATAGCACACTGAAGCCTGGGGGATCACATCCTTCCACGACAGTACACCCTGAAATACAAACATCTGATTCAGAGGAGTAACTAATACCAGGGCTCCAGATAAGGGCCGCATCGACGTATGTACGGATAAAAAACATGCACAATACGATAGGGGTTTTTATGGATAACAACTTCTTTATTTCGTGAGTGCGACATTTCGATACAGATTCTTGTACCGTTGTCAAGCAAGAGTGATACATGAAGTGGAGGAGCTGCATATATATATACTGTATATAACAATGAAACAACATAATTGCCATAATTGGTTAAGCAGTAAGCTGAAGAAGCCAGTGAGTACACAAAGGATAGTGAATGGAAGCCAGAGATGTATAAATACAGGAGTAGTTACAATGAAGGAGATGTTTATACAATAGGTGCGATGTTTATACAATAGATTGGGCTTGGTGGAACATAAGCTGAGGGAATGAAGTATCCTTGGTCACGGTTGATGGTGGGCTTATGGCGTTTGATGTGAATGGCTTCGGTGAGCTTGCGTTTAGTGAAGTCCGTTTGGTTGTTGGCGAGAATTGTGAAGTCGGACCACTCTATTTGATGATTGGGGTTTGCTTTGATGTGGTCAGAGATAGCTCATTTGGTGTCGGAATTAGCAACAGAGGTGCGATGTTCTTTGACTCGGGTGTTGATGGGTCGGGATGTTTCACCTATGTAGCTTTGTCCACAATCACAGTTTATTTTATAAATAACACATTTCGGGTTGTTGTTGTTGACAGCTATCTCTGACCACATCAAAGCAAACCCCAATCCCCAATCATCAAATGGAGTGGTCCGACTTCACCATTCTCGCCAACAACCAAACGGACTTCACTAAACGCAAGCTCACCGAAGCCTTAACTCCAACATTAGCTGAAGAACAAGTTTCATATTGGATTTATATTGACGCCTCAAAGTCTAAGCCAGTTTTTCATAAAAAGCACAATAATTAAACAAAGTTACAGCACTGCCCAAAGATACACTGGTACAAAAGGATTTGATATTGCTTAATATTTGCATTTTAAACCTAGATCGACTGTCATTTTGTAGTATGATCATGTCTCTACATATGTCTTTTGTACTTTTGTGACCTTGTACTATAACTATGACATCACAAACTGCACCGACATTACTAACATGGCCTCAGATTTTCTAAATAACAAGTTTCTTTGCCCTCTGGACTTTGTCTCGCTTTGTGATACGAGTCTTGCTTCTAGTCTAAGTGGATAAGGTCACCGATGAACGTTTCTTATACATCAAGAACTGTATTATGTTCACAAAATTATAAGCAGAAATTAGTTAACATGAAAAACTCTCCAAAATTTGTTCAAATGTTTAACAGTACATATGTTTAATATGTTTAAAGAGAAGGTCACAGTTGACACTGTTTTCATCATACATGCAACTTAGTGTTAGGTCTGGCTGTCGATACAGAGATTGATGATTGTTGACTAAATATTGATTATCAATAAATGTCAAAATGTCTGAAAGAAATCAACATGTTTCACATCACAGGTGAGCAATGACATATTTAGGCATGGATGACTACCAAGAAAACGCCGTGAACATAATATAGAAACAGCTTATGTGTGAGCAAACAAAAACTATTTCCTCACAAAAGTTTATGAACGATTGTACCGGTTCCACTATTTCATTCATTCTTTCCATCGATGATCATATTTTTGCTATGAAAACTGGAGGGAACCCAATGAGAAGACAAGTTACCTTCTGGGCTCTTTTCAGCAACAGTGTGCCACAGGAGAAGAAGAACTGGCCGGTCATCTCAGTTAGGAATGACATCCAGTCATCCTGCTGCTTAGGAATCTGTACAGCTTCCTGAAGCACTTGGTCAAACCTGGGCACAAGGAACAAATCTCACTCCATGATCCTACACCATCTTGACCTGATTCCACTCCAGGACATATCAATGATTCCAAACTAAGAAAACATGGCAATCAAAGTGGAGAGGCATTCTTGTTCAAATTTTTTTCTCTAAAATTTAGAACACCTTCCAACATTGCATATTTTCCTTACAGGCATTAATGTAAACCTAAGTATCTTGTCGTCTCTATTGGTCATGACATAACTAACATACAAGTCAGTCTACCAACCTACCGACCCATCACATAAGGTGACACTATATTAACATCAATGGGGAACATTTTAATTCCACTCATGGAAATGTTTCAAACACCAAATACCAGCCTCTGGGCAGGTTTAGGCAAATCTCCATCAGCAGTCCTCAGCAAAGTCTGTCTGTCACGTAATTTACCTTACCAGGATAAACGTCCGTTAAGATGATAACAAAAGTTTGCATCACAAACAGACATTCCATACATTGAGGAACTGGATGATGCACCAATGATATTTATCTTTGTTGCACTGTGGGAACAGTATTCAAACAATTGGGATTGAACTTCATAAACTAAATTCGTTAAAAAAACACACAAGAATACAATAGAAAACAGGAGTGATTAAAACTTGATATCAAAAAAATATTTTGCTACAAATAAAGATAATACCTAAGAAAATATGTGACTACTCCATCTTTAATAGACTTCAAACAAATTTAGTCCTGTTCCAGCTAAACACAAAAGGAATGTAACTTACTGGTGTAGAATCTCAGCACAAGCAATAAGTTCTCTGTAACAAAGACGCAGGTACACAACATTCCTCACAGTGTGCAGGAACTGAGTATAGAACTCAAGGTCTCCACGGCAACCATTCTTCCCTTTGTACGCCTAAAAGTTGGAAATGAAAAGTGATTACAAATAAATTACAAACAAAAAATTTCAAAAACAGCTGGTAGATTTAAAAATACCATTATTTATTACAACTCCTTGAATCATATCATCTAACTGTTAATTAATTTCACATATCATGTGCACTGCAATCAAAATCATTAGCTCTGCCTTAGACAACTGACACCCCCAAGAACAGATACAGTGAATAGGTTTTACATATTTCACTAGTAAAACACACTAACATAGTAACAACATCAAAGACCAAAGGTGCTTCCAAACTGACATATTTCAGAACTATTGCCATATCCCTTTGTTTGTTAACACAAGCTACTTACATAGTAGACATCCAGAAGAGTTTCATACCACTCCAGACTGTCTGTGAAAGCCATGGTGCGGTCAGTCTGGACAGCCACATTGTAAGCATGGTCAAGCCTCCCTGACTTCAGGTACAAGTGTAGCAGCTTCACTCGTAGACTTACATCGTCTGGGCGTTGTGTCTGCAACAACAAACAGTGCTCTATTGAAACAACATTATTCAAGGACGATCATCAACATTTAACCTTATTTACATGAAACTTTTTACGTTTCTTAGTTTATCCAAACATATTTTTCCCCAAAAACACTGCAAAATAGCACATAAAATAATTTTAGGGGCCTCCTAAATTTATTATCATCATTCGCTTGAGTTTGTTTATGTGACTACCTCGTTGCCACCTCACTAACAACCTCAACACATTGTTCAGAACTAAATCTCACATCACAAGTCTCTCAATTCAGACAGTGAAATACTGAGGGTCAACTGGTAGTTACAATATATTATTATATTCTTAAGGGTTAAAAAAATACTGTAAATATTGGTAAAAAATACAAATGGTATTTTGACTGAGTAGAATAACATGGTATTTCACTGAGTAGAATATCACTTTTGCCTGGAACTCAAGGACTAGACTGTAGTTGGGTTGCGTAATAAAATGCAGACCTACTCGATGTCTCGATCATTTTATAAACAATGATCAAAATATAATAAACAGAATATTTTGTTATTGTTGTCATATAACTGGTAGTTACAATATAATACTGTCAGACACAATATAAGCACAAGTCAAATTAGCTTCATTCCTACAACGTCAGTTCAGTTGGTATTCTCATGTACATACTACTATTGACACATGTAACTCATACAAAGATGATGGACAGGCTTTGATGCTGGGTACTATTTGAAGGTGACACTATCATTTACATGATTGTATAGAGGCTCTTACCAATTCTGCTGTGATGAGCTTTTCAAGTTCCTGGAAGTTTTCATCACCGCTGTTCTGGGCTATCATCTCCTGCAGAAGAATATAGGTTTGCAACTAAGGGCAATAGTTGTGTCTACATGTAATTCCTACGAATAAATCATAAAAACAAACAAAACATATGGTGACCCAATTACGTTTGCTCATGTTTTTTCGTTTGCTTGTTGCTCAACCCAACATTCAAGCTATATAAGGGTGTGAAATACACAATGCCATTTTAGAAAGTGGTCAAATGTAATACATGTTATATTTGGGATTACACTTTCTCAGTAAAGTACAGATTCTAGTACTTTTTTGGGGTTGAGTCCCATCCGGGATTCGAACCCACACCCTCAGGTCAGGCACCTAATTGCCAGCACACGAAGTCAAACGCCTAGACTGCTCAGCCACCGCGGCTTCCAGTCTGAGCGGTCTAGGCGTCTGACATTGTGTGCTCGCGATTGGATGTGGTGTTCGAATCCCGGATGGGGCTCAACCCCCCAAAAAGTACTACAATCGGTACTTTACTGAGAAAGTGTAATCCCAAATATTACATATGTTATATATAAGGGTGGCCTGTAAAAATATCAGAGTCTGAATCAGACAATCCCAAAACACTGACACAGTGAGCAACGATCCATCCCATCAGGGATACAATGACAACGCTCCATCCCATCAGGGGTACAATGTCAACCATCCATCCCATCCATCTCATCAGGGGTACAATGACAACGATCCATCCCATCAGGGGTACGATGACAACGATCCATCCCATCAGGGGTACAATGACAACGCTCCATCCCATCAGGGGTACAATGACAACGCTCAATCCCATCAGGGGTACAATGACAACGATCCATACCATCAGGGGTACAATGACAACGAACCATCCCATCAGGGGTACAATGACAACAATCCATCCCATCAGGGGTACAATGACCATGATCCATCCCATCAGGGGTACAATGACCATGATCCATCCCATCAGGGGTACAATGACAACGATCCATCCCATCAGGGGTAGAATGACAACGCTCCATCCCATCAGGGGTACAATGACAACGCTCAATCCCATCAGGGTACAATGACAACACTCCATCCATCAGGGTACAATGACAAGGATCCATCCATCATCAGGTACAATGACAAGATCAGATCCATCAGGGTACCATCAATGATCCATCCCATCAATGACAATGATCCATCCCATCAGGGTACAATGACAACGCTCCATCCCATCACGGAATACCATGACAACGCCGATCCATCCCATCAGGGGTACAATGACAACGCTCCATCCCATCAGGGGTACAATGACAACGATCCATCCCATCAGGGGTACAATGACAACGCTCCATCCCATCAGGGGTACAATGACAACGATCCATCCCATCAGGGGTACAATGACAACGATCCATCCCATCAGGGGTACAATGACAACGATCCATCCCATCAGGGGTACAATGACAACGATCCATCCCATCAGGGGTACAATGACAACGATCCATCCCATCAGGGGTACAATGACAACGATCCATCCCATCAGGGGGTACAATGACAACGATCCATCCCATCAGGGTACAATGACAACGATCCATCCCATCAGGGGTACAATGACAACGCTCCATCCCATCAGGGGTACAATGTACAATGACAACGATCCATCCATCAGGGTACAATGACAACGATCCATCCCATCAGTGGTACAATGACAACGCTCCATCCATCCCATCAGGGGTACAATGACAACGATCCATCCCATCAGGGGTACAATGACAACGATCCATCCCATCAGTGGTACAATGACAACGCTCCATCCCATCAGGGGTACAATGACAACGATCCATCCCATCAGGGGTACAATGACAACGATCCATCCCATCAGGGGTACAATGACAACGCTCCATCCCATCAGGGGTACAATGACAACGATCCATCCCATCAGGGGTACAATGACAACGACCCATCCATCCCATGACAACGCTTCCATCCCATCATCAATGACAACGCCCATCCCATCAGGGTACAATGACAACGCTCCATCCCATCAGGGGTACAATGACAACGATCCATCCATCAGGGGTACAATGACAACAGGGTACCATCCCATCAGGGGTACAATGACAACGCTCCATCCATCCCATCAGGGGTACAATGACAACATCCATCCCATCAAGGTACAATGACCATCCATCCCATCAGGGGTACAAATGACAATCCATCCCATCAGGGTACAATGACAACGATCCATCCCATCAGGGGTGACAATGACAACGATCCATCCATCAGGGTACAATGACAACGATCCATCCCATCAGGGTACAATGACCATCTCCATCCCATCAGGGGTACAATGACAACGATCCATCCCATCAGGGGTACAATGACAACGCTCCATCCCATCAGGGGTACAATGACAACGATCCATCCCATCAGGGGTACAATGACAACGCTCCATCCCATCAGGGTACAATCCATCCATCCCATCAGGGTACAATGACAACATCCATCCATCCCATCAGGGTACAAACGATCCATCCCATCAGGGGTACAATTCCATCCCATCAGGGTACAATGACAACCATCCATCCCATCAGGGTACAATGACAACGATCCATCCCATCAGGGTACAATGATGATCTCCATCCATCAGGGTACAATGACAACGATCCATCCCATCAGGGTACAATGACAACATCAATCCCATCAGGGGTACAATGACAACCTCCATCCCATCAGGGTACAATGATAACGATCCATCCCATCAGGGTACAATGACAACGATCCATCCCATCAGGGTACAATGACAACGATCCATCCCATCAGGGTACATCGATGTACAAACAGCGATCCATCCCATCAGGGTACAATGACAACGATCCATCCCATCAGGGTACAATGACAACGATCCATCCCATCAGGGTACAATGACAACGATCCATCCCATCAGGGGTACAATGACAACGATCCATCCAGCTCAATGAACATCCATCCCATCAGGGGTACAATGACAACAGTACAATGACATCCATCCCATCAGGGTACAATGACAACCATCCATCCCATCAGGGTACAATGACAACGATCCATCCCATCAGGGGTACAATGACAACGCAGCTCCATCCCATCAGGGTACAATGACAACGCTCCATCCCATCAGGGTACAATGACAACGATCCATCCCATCAGGGGGTACAATGACAACGATCCATCCCATCAGGGTACAATGACAACGATCCATCCCATCAGGGGTACAATGACAACGATCCATCCCATCAGGGGTACAATGACAACGATCCATCCCATCAGGGGTACAATGACAACGCTCCATCCCATCAGGGGTACAATGACAACCATCCATCCCATCAGGGGTACAATGACAACGATCCATCCCATCAGGGGTACAATGACAACGCTCCATCCCATCAGGGTACAATGACAACGCATCCATCCAATCAGGGTACAATGACAACGATCCATCCCATCAGGGGTACAATGACAACGTACAATGACAACGATCCATCCATCAGGGTACAATGACAACCATCCATCCCATCAGGGGTACAATGACAACGATCCATCCCATCAGGGGGTACAATGACAATGACAACGATCCATCCCATCAGGGTACAATGACAACGCATCCATCCCATCAGGGTACAATGACAACCATCCATCCCATCAGGGTACAATGACAACGATCCATCCCATCAGGGTAGGGTCCATCCCATCATGACAACGATCCATCCCATCAGGGGTACAATGACAACGCTCCATCCCACAGGGGTACAATGACAACGATCCATCCCATCAGGGGTACAATGACAACGCATCCATCCCATCAGGGTACAATGACAACGTATCAATCCATCAGGGTATCCATCCCATCAGGGTACAATGACAACCATCCATCCATCCCATCAGGGGTACAATGACAACGATCCATCCCATCAGGGATACAATGACAACGCTCCATCCCATCAGGGGTACAATGACAACGCTCCATCCCATCAGGGGTACAATGACAACGCTCCATCCCATCAGGGGTACAATGACAACGAACCAGCGTACAATGACACACAGTAAACCAATCCACCACTCCACCTTTTGCTTCTTACCACCAGATATTTGCTTGGGTGAGTGAGTGAGTTTAGTTTTACGCCACACTCAGCAATATGGCAGCGGTCTGACTGACTGAGTTTGGTTTTATGCCGCTTTTAGCAATATTCCAGCAATATCACGGCGGGGGACACCAGAAATGGGCTTCACTCATTGTACTCATGTGGGGATTCAAACCCGGGTCTTCGGCGTGACGAGCCAACGCTTTAACCACTAGACAACCCCACCGCGGCGGCAGTCTGTAAATAATCAACTCTCGACCAGACAATCCTGTGATCAACAGCATGAGCACCGATTTGCACAATTGGGAACCAATGACATGTGTCAACCAAAAATCAGCGAGCCTGACCACCTGATCTCGTTAGTTGCCTCTTACGACAAGCATGTGGTACTGAAGATCAATATTCTAACCCAGACCTTCACGGGTGCTAATTGCTTGGGTGGTCATCCCAGTGACACATAACAAATAGGTTTGGTTGTGTAAGAAATGTTTAACAACAACTTGCCTTGTTGCTTTACGTTATTGGCATAAGATATCATAAGGATAATATTAGCTGAGCTTACGTGACCAAACAAAAACTACTACCAAAATCTCGAAACAATTAAATACACGACTCAGCTCTCAAGTGATAACTAAAATCGCTGAGAGTGGCTATTTGTCCCAACTCACCCTCAGTCTGAAGATAACATCATTTCCGGGGCAGGTTTGCTCTGCCTTCTCCAGCCAGAACTACAGCAAACAGAAACATGAAATAACACATGTTAACTCACTCACCAAGCAGGTTTACCTAGTTTTTTTCTCATACATTTGGAACATATGAGAATTTTCGAAAGAATATCCACAACTTTGCAGAGATCCTACAATGTTTTAAAATGCATCATTTTCCAGGACAATCACTGTCTTTGAAATTGTCATGACGTAATTGTACAAATATATTATTGGAGAAAGAGGAAAGCCCGTGTTCAGCAATGAGAATGTCCCAGTGCTGTCTGTATCTAGTGAAGTCATCCTTCATATGGTTACGTGATCTGGATACCCTGCGGCATGTAACAGCAAAGTTATCTGGTTAATGACAGGAACTATTTGAAACATACAGGGATGAGAATGGGTACGAGTGAAAACAAGGAAAATGAGCCGGGGATCTTGAGGGCCGCAGCTTTTGACAATTAACAAGAATGACCCCAGCGCGATCAAATCCGTGGAATTCCACAGAAAGTTCTCATCCCTGAACATTGCCTGTCTTTACATTCGTTGTATTGAGAGGGATATTTCCTGAAAGGTGCCTGTAGAAAACTCACCCGAGCTCGCTCTGGATCCATTGCCACCTGTGTACACAGCTCACAAACTGTAACAGAAACAAAAGATTGTGTTAAAACAAGAAATAAAATCTCGAAACTAAACACTGCTGATTCAGCTTTAATAATTACTCACTAAGTAATATAAAAACTCTATCCATTCAACAAAACAAAACAAAATAAAATGTCCAGATAGTTACAAAATTTAGGCTGAAATATTGCTGTACTGATTGTTATTGGTTTTCGCCTCCAACCCTTAATCAGGCAGAATTCGTCTCTCAGGTGAAATTTCTCTCTGTAATATTCAAAATGAACTTTCAGCCAATGATATTTGGTATCTTTGTATTTTGGCAATTCCAAATGACCAATGAACATAGCTGTAGCAAATTAGGAGCCATGTGACCATGCAGTTAATTAAAAAAACGAGGTTTTCTATAAATCTCCAATTTAAACACAGTTTGTGTTTTTACTGATAAAAAATGTTAATAAACCGATACACTTTCAATTCAAAACAATTTTACACGTAACAGAGCACACTTGTACCAGTTCAGTGCATAATTTCGAATTGCAGAATCAGAAAATTCATTCCAAATTATTAGCACCCATTAGCCTTTCCTGGAATTTTGCGAAACAGCCGACTGGTTTCCTGGAATCGGTTCAAGAGGTGTGTTCAGTAACAGTACCGGAGTGCTGAGTGTACATGTTATAACGTCTTATTAGTAATCCAGTGTTGCATTCAGGAATTTGGGATTAATGGGGAAATCCCCCTTAACTCTTACAAAAGAGGAGGACCTGACACCAAGCAGAGGTTATCAAATATTGACTAAAGATTGGTATTTATCCTTACAACAGAAACGTGAGCCTTGTTGATGCTTCAGGGCTCGAAAAATTAAAAAATCTGCCCTCGCCCAGTAATATGAAATTTCCACTCGTCCTATGCAACATAATGAAAGTAACTTTAAATTATCTTATTTCAAAATGTTTGCTAGGAATAGAACTACAATAAACATTATTTACTTTGTCTGCTAATTCGCTCACTATTTAAGATAGCTGAACTTCAAAGAAAAATAAAAATGTTACTTCCCTTGGCTTTGTAAGACAATACACAGTTCAGATTTGAAATATTTGAGAAAACTAGCAGATTACAAATCAATGTAGTGGATATAACAAGTAGGGAATTCCCAATTTTCAAGCTGATCCAACAACATTCATGTTGTGACGATTTTTCTCATTGGTCAGTTTATTAATTATAGCCAATCAGGATATTCGGAGCACTTAGGTTACAAAACCACGCTGCGTGATATCTGTTGAAAAAGGATACCAAACGAACATCAAGACTTAAACTTTGCGGTTAGTTTTCGGAGGATTTAAAAATACTGCTAATCGGGAATGACGATGTTAAAACTTAAACTTATTGTTTTGAAAAATAGTTGGGTCAGAAAACGTACTCGTCCTGTAGGCAAATTATGTTTTTCACTTGCCTGAAACAAATTTTACTCGTCAATACGAGCGAACAAGTGGAATTTTCGAGCCCTGTGATTACTATCCACAATTACGGTAAGTTATATTCACGTCATGCAATTGTCAAACTTTCTGGATACCATATATTACTGTAGATACGCAGTATCTTTGAGGTCCAGTTTTGGTGTCGGCTTATCTACAGGTTACACTTTCCTGAAACTTTTTTTCAGGGGGTAAGAAAATGACATTACATATCACTTTGCATGAACGAACAAGAGAAGATGACTTTGTTAGTATAGACAGTAAATATTCAGTTCTAATCCTTAGGGTTAGGGTATGGCAACCTTTCAGGTCCTTAGGGAGCTGACACATCTTTAATAGCAAAGAACCCGTTCAATCCTTAAAGGGTTACGGATTCACTTGACCTTTGCAAATAAGCGGGGACCCGGGTGATATGTCATCACTGATGACTCATTACCATCCGCCATAAAATACAGTCGTGCCCCGTTTCTCCGAACCTCAGATATCCGGAAAACTCGCCTTCCGAACAAAAATTCCTCAAAACGAATTCACAATGTTGTAAAATTACGCACTTATCCGGAAATCTGGTTTCCGTAACCGGACAGTCATTTTCACATAGAAAATTATATGCATTATTTTCTCGTATATCAGGATGGCTGAGCAGCTGTCAGTAAAGTTTACACACGCATTTTACCGAGTGGACTTGCGTGCCCTAACATAAAAGAAGTCTGCAGTCTTTGAAGCGTGAGAGGATTAACTACCTGTAATTAGCAAGAAGACACTGAGTTAATTTTGAGTTGTGATTGGCAAGGCAAGACATCCCCGTTGTTTTGGTAGTGACTTAAATCCGGGAGTTTATGTTAGGTACAGGAACAATGCAAACGCGTGGATGACATCCAAACTGTTTCCCGATTGGTTGCTAGCATTTGACAGACAGATGCATGTACAGGTATGTTCGCACGTGTTATTGACTTGAATACTTTATTTGACAAGATGATATTTGTGGATGCACAGTTATTTGTTGTTGTCTTTTCAAAAAAGATTACATCTGAGGTCTATTATGTTCGTTTCTTTGTATGACCTTTTACATATCTTCCGTGGTTCAGATATCCGGAAATTCGTTTATCCGGACAATTTCAAGAAAACCACAAGTGTCCGGATAAACGGGTCACGACTTTAGTAACAATATATAGGACCTTGTTTCCTCCGTCCGTCACTAGAACTTCACAACAATCACACATTACTAGGTAAGTTCAAATATGAACGAGCAGATGTCACTAAGATGACATAATCCCCTGCCGCAAATTATCAAATCAAACTAAAAAAGTAATGAAAGTGAAGGTCGTAGTTTAAAATGAAGTTAAATGTCAACAAAAACATGAGTCAACCTCTCTTGATATCTTGCTCTGTAGCTGTTCAAACACACAAATATATTCAAGACTCACTCTGACCATGACATGAATATCATGGTGTATGAAATACGCAAAAATAATAATTATGATATTGCTTATCAAAAAACATTCAAGAGAAGTCTTGAAAGTCAATTAAAAAATCCAGTGAACCGTTCTTGAGATATCTTGCTGACAATCTTAACATGCAGGTTAACAAAAACATGCTGAAATCTTAAAAGTGTCACCGTGACCTTGAAAAATCATGTGACGGTCACCAAAATCAACTGGGCCCTGTACCTTCCCCAGATGAAGCTTGGTGTCAAATATGAAGAAAATCCAGAGAATGGTTCCTGAGGTATCTCGCTGACAAGGGCAAGACTTTAAACACCCCTTGTGACCTTGAAATAAAGGTCAAGGTCACCAAACCTGACTGGGACCCAGGTGCCAAATATGAACAGAATCTACAGAGTGAACTAGCTAAGACAGATCCTAACTAGTTAGGACAGGAGTTAGGATACCGTTAGGATAAGACCCATTCTCGAAACGATCCTATCCCTGTCCTAATTTGAGCTACCGATCCTAACTAGGATAGCGAGCTCTTCAGTAGGTGAGATAGAAAAACATTCATTGAGTTGGGGATTCACCTAAATATTACCCATGATTCATTCCATAAAAACCCAACTACATTCTCGTTTACAAGATAAATGGTAAGACTAGAAATCGAAGTAAAAAGCTTAAAAGCGGTGAAATTCAGCTTTTGGTGGACTTAGTAGATCTAGAAGAAATTATAATTAATTATATAAAATACACATCTTGTATCCAGAAAAATAGAGTGAATTAGTACTTGAACATATTCAAAATATTTAATGAGATTTTTTTATATCTATTTGTTCGAATTACCATACTTCCAGAAAAAAGTATTGTTAATATACTCAGTATTTTATATTTGATATTTTCATCACATTATAGTAGTTTTGAAGTTTTTGAAAATTCATTTATTTGACAATGAGATAACATTTTTACTTAGGAGTTTGAAAGTCTGCCAAAAAAGCAATAAGATATGTGCAAAAAATATTTTCATTTTATTTGTTTTTTTATGAAAATCTCGCAAACTGAAAATTCACCTAGGAAATAAACAGGAGTTACTCCCCCTATCAAGTTGGCCTTGACATTGACATTTCACGGCAATGTGACAGAAAAGAGCAATGTTGTGATTAAATGGCAGAGAATAGGTAAGAATTGAACAAATCTCTTTTGTAGATCGAAAGAATACGTGCATTGCAACAAGTGTGTCTATTCTTTACCAATAAATTGATAATATTAACTAAAACAACTCTTCTTAACTCATCCAAACTGTGTGCTGTTGTAAATTCAAACGTAATTTAGGCGAGTTATTTTGTTTGACGTCAAAATTGGTGAACAAACAAGAACCACACCATGTTGACTTCCACTAAGATAGACTTAGGACAAGTCAGAAACTATCCTAGTATTTGTCCTAAGTTAGGATATCCTAGTGCTAGGATAGTTTTCGAGAATAAGGTAGGACACCTATCCTAGACCCTAGGATCAAAGTTAGGATATCCTAGGGCTAGGATCCTTTCGAGAAGAGGTGCCCAGTATCTTTGAAATTGAACAACACAGCAATACTGGTGGTCTAATACATATAGCACAGGATCAACAGACAAGTCAGCTAGACCATAAACTGACTTGGTCTTGCCTGTTGGAATCCCCACAAAAGCTAACACCTAAAACTTAATAAATCTGATGAAAGTTTGAAAATTAATCTTCAAGTAACTCACTTTTGATGATCAAATCTTTCTGAGTGCCATCAAGCTCCAGGGCCCTGAAAATATACAGTGGTGAAATGCACTGATACTGACTAAATCAATGTTGAAAAGTTAATACTGCTGTCATTTAGTGGCACATCGTGGTGTAATGAAAAGGTATTATAAGAAACCCAAGTTATGCAATATGTATTGGTAAAGTGACAAGAACTGGCGACTCGTAAATATCATCTGACATTAAAAGAATAGAATGTCCATAACTAAGAAGACTGTAATGCAGAGGTACAGATAAGCTGCGTATCTGCGTAAATTACACAAATGTTTATGAGAAAACACAATTCCTATTCAATGATCCAAAAAGTTATCTCGAGCTCTGGTAATGAAACAAAATGGATGCTACATGACACTACCTCTTGTAACATTCCAAAGCCTTTTCCTTTTCATTTGTCTTAAGGAAGATATGTCCCATGAGCTTGTGTGCCTGAGGCACCGTCTCCCTCACACTCAGGAATGATGACAGGTACCTGGAGGGGAGAAGCGGCACTTTTATGTTAATAATATAGACACAACTGACCACATGCTGATCACCATCTATAATAAAATATCCAAGCAACAGTGCAGGCTAAACAAATCGACAGTTGGATAATGTTGATGGGAAGAACTTGTAAAGATTATCAAAATGAAAATTGTGTCATTAACAATATCTTAAGTTAACGATTGTGACAATGTTAACATTTACCAAAACGAACTTGTGCCAAAGACAGCACGCAATCTGCCCATTAAATGTTTTACAGACAAATACACTCTTTGCTTTGTTATTTTGTATATTTATCAATAATCGATCAATATTTAGTTAACAATCATTGACATACATCATTAGTCCTACCATGAAAATATTAACATGAAGACATGCAATCAACAACTCATTCAGCCTGACCACATCATTCATTGATTGACCCCTTGCTACATACCTGTAGCTGGGGACTTAGATGGAACCCTCAATTCACACACCACCAGTGCAATGTGGACACTAGGGGTGAAACGGTAAATTCCGTATATCGTGGGATTAGTAGAACCGCAGTATTTGTGAAGTGAGGTGAAATTGAGTTTAATGTCGTGCTTGAGAACATTTCGCTCATATGACGATGTGCATGCGTGTGTATTTGGGCTGCTTGTACTAGCCCAGACTTAAGCTGGTTTTACAGTGCTAGCCCACTGAGATACCATGCCGCAGTGAAGCATGAATACCCCACTCAGACACATTATACTGACTCCGAGCCGACCAGTCCTTGTTGTACCTATTAATGCCGAGCGCCAGACTGGGACCAACAAGTACCATGTTTTAACGTCTTTTGGTATGACGCGGTCGGGGATCGAACCCGCGACCTTCCGCTCTCCGGAGGGAGGCTCTAACCACTACATCACGGAGACAGTCGCAGTATTTGTAGAACTGCAGTATATCAAACCGAAACGGTCCAGACCGAAGGCCTTGTACCGCAATACGTACCGTACCGCTTCACCCCTAGTGGCCACATATTACACTGACGTATCTATATACAACAAATGATAATGATCAATGATAACTTGCTCATAACTACAGGCCTTTCATTTCACATGTACCTTTTAGCAATCTCATATTCAGACACATCAAAATACAGCCTTGCTATCTGGTAGCCTCTTGAGTTTTTCTGTCAACAAAAATACATAGATCAAATCATTATCAATTCACTTCTTATAGTCTGTTTGCAGTGAAAACATACCGATGAATTTCACTTTAAACAAAAAAGTAAAGCAAAGTGAAATTAAGATCGCGAATCCTCATAATTTTACCTTGCCAACTGAACATTTAAATCTCAGAATTTTATTCAACTTATGTACTGGTAAATTATAAATATTGGATGATTGCTTGTGTTTAAGATAAAGTTGTCATTCATAAGTTAATGGGATATATTGTTGTTCATGCAATTAGCAAAAGAACAGCGAAGGTTTCTTAAAACCCATAAAATAGGATATATCTAAAATTGGAAGGAATCTGCAATGTCTACAAGCCCCCAAACACTTTTTAGTGTGGAACCATCCCACCGATTAGATACATCAGGTGCAGGTCTACAAAAATGTACAGTACATTGTTTGAATCTCCCTTTGCATTGACCTGTCCATATTCCCTTCCTTTCACCAGATGTGATTTAAACCGGGCCATTCACTATCATGGAAACAGTTCCTTTCGTTCACCAAACCCTAAACCTAACATAAATCGTGGACTTTTAGTCCTTTTGTGAGTTCTCTAGTAATTGTTGTGTTAAGTTTTGTTAATAATTTTAGTATATTTATAAATATTATTTGGGATGGGGGACCGGGAGGAATTCTTACCACGGCTAGAATGCACTTTACCGGGCGTAGCCCCACAGCCCGCACTGTCTCCAGCGATGTCTTGCTATATCGCAGTAAGTGCTCCGTCTCCCTTCACTTGCATCTTTTGTTAATTTTTAAACAACCCTTTACGATCCTTAGGGTTAGGGTTTAGGGTTAGGTATGGCACCCTTTACTATCCTTAGGGTTAGGGGTTAGGCACCCTTTACAATCCTTAGGGTTAGGGGTTACAATAATCTGAAAAAGTGTGCCAGGTAAAGTGCAGTACTCCCCTTACCACTATCACAAACGTTCAAAGTTCTTGAAAAATTAACCAATCCGAACTTATTAATTCCTCAGTATGTTCAATATAGTCCACAAAACTTCGCATTTTTGAAGCACCAGTCCTCTCAATTATGTTGTTATTGTTCGTACTACTCCACTACATCCTAATACTGTAATACTAAATGAATAACGTGTTACATTTATAGTAAATAATAAAGATTGAAAGTAGTTAAAGTAAGCCTATTTGGTATTTCGAGACTTCCATAGATGTGTAAAACTTGATGACATAACTTATTCTCTTTCTCACCTCCTTTTCATTCTTGATTCTTCCCAGCACATTTGCAGCATGTCTATCGACGTCTTGCTTCGTTCGAAACATGGTCTCAGGCTTCTCACTTTCAACTATTTTCTTCAGAACATGTGAGTATGCGGCGCATTTAATTTTCCGCCATTTTTCTTGATCACAAACGGTTTTCAACGAATGAGGCCCTCAACCAACGTGTATGGCTTCACACTGTAGTGTACAGAGCGTCTGAAAGAGCGAAATCTCAACGATGACTAATTAAACACGAAACACATTTTCCTTTTATGTGTTGGGATATACATAGATTACTAGCGCTGTGAATATTGACATTCGACTCGTACTTGTCTTTGAATTGGACAGCGTTCCGCTCGCACGTTGCGCACCGGTTTCCACCCTTGCACCGGACTTATTTACGACAGTTTATTACGGAACAGTGGGTGATGGAACTTGCTAATATCGGTTTCTATTAGACACAGTAATATATACTAACAAACTGTTCAGTGATCAGCTCTTAATATGTTTTATTAACGTAGCGGTTGGATGTTGTAAAGTGAATTGCGAACCACTTTACGGTAGTAGGTACTCGTGTAACCTCGGGAATTTCCGGCCGATATCGAACCCGAAGCACCAGCCCCAAATTACGAAAACTTTCCAGCGGACAGTTCAATGTCAAATGTGTTTTGATGCCTAAATAATTGTTCCTAAATAGTACACGTCACAATTAGAGCAGCAATACAATCTTGATCAACAGTAAAGTGTTGCGAAACATACACAAAGAAATGCTAAAATATGAAATTACTTCTTCTTGCAAGTGACCAAGTAAAAACTTCTCAACTAGTTGTGGCGTTAAACTACCAAACAACCTCGACGTTAGAAAGGGAAGCAGGTTCTACAACCCACCAGGTTTGGGTGTGATTGGTTGGTTTGTTGTTTAACGCCACACTCAGCAATATTCCAGCTATATGGCGGCGGTTTGTAAATAATCGAGTCTGGACCAGACAATCCAGTGGTCAACAGCAGGAGCATCGATCTACGCAACCGGGAAACGATGACAAGTGTACCAAGTCAGAGAAGCATTGGGTGTGGCATGATAACGCGATCTGTAACACACCGTCACAATATTTCTGAACTTTCTCGTAGACCAGGGATAATCTTCTATCTTCTGAACTGTAGAATTTTTACATTTTAAAAAACTTCTCATTGATATAAATGTGCTCAATACAGACAGGCTACAAACAAATAGTTATACTACTCAACAGTAAAAGTGAAATAAAGGTTAGTAGGTTACACGGATTGTTACATAGAAATGTGCAATTATAAGAATTGTAGCAAGAGGACTACACTAATAAAGGCCTTATGCCCCAGCACTGATGTGTTAATAAGTAGCTTACTCATACACGTTCAATATAGCCGTAATTCTAATTCAGTAAAGTTAATTACACATGTATTAATTGAACACAATAGGTTTTGATTTTACATTCAGTTAATACAACAGACAATATTGTAAGGGGAATATTTACTAATTGACTCACGCATCTTTTAGTGAAACAACTTAATTTCTACTGAATTCACATATCAGGACCGTCCACTATACAGAATACAAACGGATAGAAGCTATAGGCCCGACTAATCTGTAGATTATAAGGATTATATACCAAAGTGGATTTCTTCTTTGATTGGCATTCTAGAAGTTGGGTAGATGAAGAATGAGGACTATTTTTATGGATATACAACTTCTTTATTCTATATAGACGACGTTTCGACATACATTCTAATGTCGTTGTCAAGCAAGTGGTACATGGGAAGTATTTTGGGTGATTTATATAATGAGATGTTTGTACAATTCAATGGGGGATGGGGCGAAAATGAGTTGTTTATACAATAGAATAGGTTGATAACCCAGGATTAAGTAGGTTGATAGGAAGCCAGTAAAGAACATGTACATAGTTGTATACATAAGGGATTAAGGATGTTGATGGGCAGCCAGTAGGGAATGATATACATAGGTTGTTTACATAAGTGGTAAAGGGACTGTTGGGAAGCCAGTGGTGAAGTGATGTTTACACAATGGATAATGTACAATGGTTGAGTAGGGTTACATGAAGTTTATTGGGCAAGTGATGATAGGCCTTGGGGATGAAATATCCTTCATCTCTGTTGATGGCTGGGCAAATCTTCTTTATGTGGACATCTTCAAGTAGTTTTCGGGTTTTGAAATCGGGCCGGTTCCTTTCGATGACTTTGGTGGTGTTCCAACTGATGTTGTGGTTTGGGTTGGCTTTAAGGTGGTCGGTTATGGCGGATTTAGAGTCTTTCTTTCTTACTGAGGCCTGGTGTTGTTTGATCCTAATGGTGACTGTTCTTGATGTTTCACCAATATAGGATTCGCCGCAGTCGCATTCTATCTGGTAGACGACATCTGCAGGATCTGGCTTCTTTGCCGGGGTGGGTCTGCCTGTGGCCTGCAGGAGGTTCTGTATAGTGTTGCCTCTTTGGAAGATGACATCAGTGTTGGCTTGCTGTTTGAGGAGTCGTCGGATGTGGTGGCTAGTTGGTCCGATGAAGGGGTGGCTGATGGTGAAGGGGGCTGCTTGCTGTCGGGGAGGTTTATAGTCAGGGTCGAGGGTGTTGTTGATGGTCTGGTCGACGAACGATGCAGGATATTTGTTGTAGTTGGTGAAGACGTGTCTCAGGTGGTCCAACTCGGTGTCTAGTGATGCGGCTGTGGAGCAGATGTTCTTGGCTCGTCTGGTCAGGATTGAAATTATCCCTCTCTTGGCTTGGATAGGGTGACTGGGGGAGAAATGGAGATACTGGTCTGTATGTGTTGGTTTCCGGTAAACGCTGATGTTGAGCTTCTTATCATCTCTACTTCACATGGAAAGATAAAATAGTGCAACAGACCCATAGCCTTCCTATGGGTTCACCACTATCCCCCCTCATTACCGAGATCTACATGACCCATCTAGAAGAAACCGCCCTTGAAACGTCCCCAATCCAACCCACCTGCTGGTTCCGTAAAGTAGATGATACTTTGTCATCCTTCCTCCATCTGACGACCCCAACGTCCTTCTCCAACACCTGAACTCCCAACACCCCCGGATGCAGTTTACTATGGAATTAGAAAGAGACAACCAGCTTCCCTTCCTAGATGTCCTGGTCCACAGAGATGACAAGAAGCTCAACACCAGCGTTTACCGGAAACCAACCCGGGGACGAGCGAACGCTTTAACCACTGCCCCCACGTATATAGATGTAATGTTAAAGGCTGATGTTTGTGTTTCTTAGTTTTGGTAATTCTGAATTACAAAGTGAAAGCAATGTGATATGATTTGCAATTGTATTTCAACATGAGGGCCTAACTAGGTTTACAAGTAAATACAAATCACTGCAAAGACATTACTGTGGCTGAACCAGATAGAGAGCCACTTCAAATAAATACCAGTAATTAGAACAATAATGAAAGAGATGATAATATCCACCTCACGGCAACAATGGTCAAGTTTCCGAAAATATGAGTATCCAGGGCAACAGTGATCTCCACTAGGGCTGGGACGGGTAACCCGGATACCCGGGACGGGTGGGTAATGAGTTGGACCCGGGTACCCGCCTCAATACCCGGACCCGTTGTGATCATGTGACTAATAGATTAAACAATGTAAAATGTTATTCTTTCATGATTAAATGTTGTATTGTCTTTGCAGATTTAGACATAATTTACAGCCACCTGTTTTGAATATAATACATGGTTAAGATATTGAAAAACTCGAAATTTTAGCCTTCGAGTTGAAGAATATATTGACATTTCTTACAAATTTGATGTCAGGAATTAACATAACGGGTATCAGGGTAGGGTAGGGTAATAGCTAAGGGGTGGGTTACCCGGGTAGAAAATTTGGACCCATCCCAGCTGTAATCTCCACACGATTACTGGTCTTCTTGTAACTTGAGATGTAATGTGAGATGAGAGGCAAGAGTTAGCTGCACATATAAACATAAGGACAAAATTCAACTCCCAGCATCAGAATATAATGGAAAGGCCCATATAGGGTTGTAGTACCTTCTAGAACTCTGTCTAAACACAACACAAGTCTAAACATAGCACCCCACTGACTCTCCCTGACTTTCCATATGTACAATGTGTTTCACTTGGAACATTTTTACACAATATTTTACTGCCACTTTTTTGTGTAAACCCAGTGTAATTACTTTGCATTATTGTATATGTTTACGATATAATCCGAAACGTCACAATTAGTTTTGCAAGTAGGATGCGTTCCCATTCAAAATCCGTTCCGAACTAATGTCAACCCGCTTCCGGGTCGTTTCACCCGGGTTGTTTCATCCCAATCCCAAAGGTTTATGGCCGAGTCAGCGAAAATCCTTCTTCAACTACGGAAAAAGGTGTCCGCTCAGTCGGTCCATAAGGAGGGGGAGTTGGTTCCGCACGGTATCACACGCGCTATCGGGGCTATATCAAAAACATAGAGAGGACACCTCTTTATCCCGACCAAGCAATATTAAAACAATGTCGATAACAAGAAGCAAATCATTGAAGCCTTCGATGACACCCCTCATTATCTTTTTGTATGTCCCAACTATGATGCTTTTTTCGCGGTTTCGGGACCCTGTAAGTTGAGATCTTCGCGGAATCGGGCCGACACCATTCCAAACTATAGGTCAGTTCACCAAGAGTTGTTTTACCCAACTAATTTAGTATTCATGGAGAATGGTATTGATCTCATAAAATCTCATCTCTTCACGCTTAAAACTTAAATGAACATTTAAATAAGTCAACATTTTGTTCAACATTACACTTGCATTTCTGCCAAGGCAACTGCATGTTTGGAGATCTGCTTCAGTTGCAAGAAGAGCGTAAGACCGCGTCAAGATGGACTGCAGTGTGAAACTGTGAAACTGTGAAACAGAATATCACGGTGGCACACCAGACAGGTAATACGGTCATAACAACTGTTTGATAAGAATGTTGCATGCATGTTAGTACACAGTGCTCGTATGGACCCATCCCTTACATACTTAATACCCATTTGATAACTAATGTTTAACTCATACCTTTTAAATACCCAATGAGTAACTTTCTGGTGGTGCTGGATTGCCATTTTATGTTCTTGTGCCACTCTTTAGAAGTGAGGCTGACCAAGTGAAAACCTAAGTGCGCCTGGTTCAGAATGGTCTTCTATCAAGATACAATAGGCAGAAACTCAAGAAGACCCACGAGAAGCTTCTTAACCTCTGGACACAGTACAGAGACAAGGAACAAGTCCATTCCTGTCCAAGGCAGCTACTTGCAGCTACACAGCCAATATGAACTGATATAATTATTCAAACAATCTGTATATGCTGTTTCGACACTATGCACAAAGATGAATAAAATACTGAAACAAGTTTATAGTTGATAATAATAATTATTATTATTTGCTGGGGTGAAACCTCTAAATGAGGCGAAACTGTGTGGGGTGAAACAACCTGGGTTGAAACTGTGCTTGGGTGAACGTGTTTAGGGTGAAATAACCCGTTACCTGTCAACCCAATATCCATGAGCACAGATAGTGAGCTGTCGTTTTTAATTTTGTTTACAAAAACCCTTAAATAGTTTGCAATTAAAGTTTGGCCTCTAATAGTTTTCAATACAAAATGAATAAAGATTCTCAGCAGCATACTTTCTGTTTTCACGATGATCGCCAAGTAATCAGCTTTTACCCAGTACACTAGACTAACAACTAGTCTCTGAAATGAACATATTTTACTGAAAAAAGTTCATAGTAAAAAAATATATATATCATGGAAAGGAGCCCTGAGACTTTCTTCATTTTCAGAAGCTGAGGAAATCTAGACTTGCCACATTTTCTAGACTTGCGTGGGCTTTCTTGGATATATTTGCTTCAGGGTCTGTACGACAGACTACCAGTACACTTCAAGTCCTTTGAAACACTGAGGTTAACGGAGATCATCATCAACTCTAGCTCTAACCATAACATCTACAATATCAACATCAACAGCATTATCAACCTCAACGTGAGCGTCAACGTCAACAGTAGTAACGGCAATCTCAACATCAACTTCGACATCGAGGTCAGCATAAGCACCAACGTCTACAACAATTTCAGGTGTGTCACATTTAGCATCTGATTATATCAGCAGACTAGAACAGGCTACTTCTAGGATGTCTATACCAATGGACTCCTTAGTAAATGGGCTGAAACCTTCCGTCAGGCAATGGGTCTAAAACAAAGAGCCCAGTATATTACAAGAAGTGCGTCAGCAAGGTGAACATACAGCCAAGTCATACCTCAGTATCCAGCAGCCAGATGAAGCTAGCCTCACAGACCAAGACACGAAGCTGTTAACACATGTGATGTCCCTAATGAAGAACCAACGAAGACCCATGCAGCTGTGATGTCTGGAGACACTCAAGATGACTGCCAACAAAGAGTCAGGTTCCCGTCACAACCTCAACATGATGACTACAGTTCCAGACAAGGTTTCTGTCATCTAACTCTGGGCAACAGTCGAGAGCAACATCATCCATCCAGCAGAAACAGCAGAGATGCTCAGAGTGCGGTTAGTATTGTTCTCAGCATAAATATTATCGCCATTCACATACCATTTTTGTAGAAAGTATGGTCACAATACGCCAGTATGTAATCAGGTTTATCTGTGAAAGGCGAACAACAAAATAAGGACATGTGCCTCATTCCAAGGATCCACCTAGAATCGGGCCAAGCAAACGTCCCAAAACATCTACCCTTGCTACCCCCGCCATCCCATCCTCTTCCAGCCCTAATAAACACCAAGTACCTCTTTGGGTCCCATTATTTAAAAAAACCACAATTAATGTTAAGGTCAGGCAAGTCTGAAACACAGCATTGATACCGGATCTACAATCAGATGTGCTCATATGAAATTTCAGAAGAAAATAGGACTTACTGAGCCTCACCTACAGAATCCTATCGGGCAGAGATTGTTGGGCGTAGGACGAGAACGACAACCAGTGCTAGGTGTAATAAGTCTACAACCTAACATTGGTCATGCTTCACGTTCACACAGTTTTCAGGTCTTCACTTCATTGCATGATACCATAATTTTTGGTTTAGATATTTTCCAGTCAAACCAGATCAAAGTTGATCTCTCCAACCTCACAGATCACCTATATGATGGATTAAAGTCTGTAGGCTTGGTGGATGCACATGACGCGTCACTACTCTTGGAACGTATGGCTGTACTAGAAGGCATTAAAGACCTTTCAGGGTGGACCTCACACCTCACACATAGATTGTCATGCCCTCAAATGGTATACATACACCAAACAGGTAATGTTGCAAAACAGTCTCCCATGCATTCGGAATATTATTTTGGTACATTATATGGAACATAGAACAGTTAAGCTAATAGAAATACTGATGCCCTCTCTCTCGCATTCATATCCTGCACAGATCACAGAACCTGTTTCCCCTCATTACACCGATTCTCAAGTCAGAGGCCTCCAGGTCTATGTGATGGCATATTATATCATTTCTACATGCCAAAGCACAGATGACTCAAGGACGGCCGCCACCAAAATGGTCACACAACGAGCAGTTCTTATTACGGGAAGGAACTCCCTTCTTTATGCTCAACGTGATTCAAAAGCAAGTGGATGCCACTTTGGTCGTGATGCTACCCGCCAGTCCATATGAACCAAGTACCACTGTTGAAACATACATCAAATCTTGTGAAGAATGTACAAACAAAACCTCCAAAACATTGGGCCCATTCCCACCCAGTTCAAGTTGTACCTATGCCTATTGAAGACAACTTTTCCAGGTGACATGGTGATGTTTTTGGCGTCTTCCTCGAACATTGGATGAGCATAGGTATGTTCTTGTAGCTGTGAACTCATTCTTGGTTGAAGCGTTCCCATTGCAAACCCAAGATGCTGTGGATATGACAACAAAGCCCTTTAATGAGGTCTTCGGGCATGGTGTAAGCCTGACCGGTCCTTACTGTAAGCCTGACCAGCCCTACTGTAAGCCTGACCGGTCCTTACTGTAAGCCTGACTGGTCCTTACTGTATGCCTGACCGGTCCTTACTGTAAGCCTGATCGGTCCTTACTATGCCTGACCGGTCCTTACTGTAAGCCTGACCGGTCCTTACTGTAAGCCTGACCAGTCCTACTGTAAGCCTGACCGGTCCTTACTGTAAGCCTGACCAGTCCTACTGTAAGCCTGACTAGTCCTTACTGTCCTTACTGTAAGCCTGACCGGTCCTTACTGTAAGCCTGACTAGTCCTTACTGTCCTTACTGTAAGCCTGACCAGTCCTTACTGTAAGCCTGACCAGTCCAAGTGGGCTCTTTCTTCCGTGTGTTCTCATGTCAGTCATCATGTTTCTCACCACACAATAAGATAAGATAAGATATAACTTTATTATCCCGGAAGAATTTCTTTTTATATAAAAAAACGGCATCAAAATGAATATATATGTGTACAAAATTCACAAAAATATACACAATAATAACATGCACAAAATGAATGTTGATGATTCCATACAATTAACCATATAGGTAAAGAGGCTGGGTTAGTAGTTATCGCATACATGATGACTATTCAAAAACATCAGTTGCATTAATAACACAAATACTGGATGGTATGAAGGACAGTCGAGCTCTGTTTTAAGCGAAGGTGATCGAAAGCGGCGTCCAGATGAAAGTGGTTGAAATGGTGAGATAAAACATGTGAACTATCAATTCTAATTTTAGTTGCCTTTTTGACAATCTGGCGCTCATAAATGAAGGGAATATACTCGAAAGACACTCCAGTAATTTTGCTGGCAGTTAACAATTTTGAAAAGTTTGTTTTTGTTGCCAGCAGACAGACCCCCATACCAACATAGAAATTGTAGGTCACCACACTTGAATAAAGGTTTCATAAAAAAACGGTCATTATGGTTTTGTCTAGAAAGGTTTCTTAAGCGGCGAAGAAAATAAAGTCGCTGTTGGCCTTTTTTGTAAATGTGATCTATGCGTTTTGAAAACGAAAGTTTTGAATCTAAAATAACACCGAGACATTTCCACTCTTTCAATTTCTGCATTATCAATTATAAGAGGATGTAGAGGTTCCTTATTTCTCCGAAAATCAACCACCACTCTTTAGTTTGTTTTCTGTACATTCAGAAAAAGAAAATTGTCTTTACACCAAGATAGAAAGTTTTCAATGCTTTGACGATAATTATGTTCAGAATAAGAAATTAGGCCAGTCATCTGCGAATTTCACAGTAAACACGTCATTTAATGCCAAGTAACAGTCATTGGTATACAAAATGAAGAGTAAGGGTGAAAGAACACAGCCCTGTGGAGCTCCAGTAGAGGTTGAGAGAAAAGAACATTGATAGCCACTGACACTGACATACTGAGTTCTATGTACCATGAACTCTTTAACCAGCGTTCGAAATACCTGCCTGCCCCACCGCCCGGTACGGGTTATTTTCAACATGGACTACCAGATTCTCAAATCTACCTGCCCGACGATCGGGTTAAAATTTATACATGTATATGAAGATATTCATCATATTTCAGGATTATAAATCATTGTTAATTCACTCGTAAAAATAGAGTAAATAAGTAAATTAGTATTTGTTGTGGGCAGGTAAATTTTGGTCAGGGCTGGCTGAAATGTTTGGGAGTTTCATACCCTGCTTTACCCCATTTGATAATGTTGCTATGAACGCCTAGATTAAACAGTTTACTCATCAAAAGGCGTGGTTGGATGGTTTTGAAGGCGGAAGAAAACTCAAAACCTGACATACAATTGAACTTGACTGTCTCATGTTGAACGCAATGAGTGGACGTAGATGAAGATTGTTATTTTTTAGCAAATGGCATATCTGTGGGTCATGATTAACTTGTGTATTAAGTTTAGTGAACCTACCATGTATAGTTTCGATGATATGCTGTGGCCAGGTAACCATCAAACACATTTTGCACCAAGTCGTGTTTCCATGGAAACAGAAAAAAAAAAAAATTCTGAAAAAAATTAAATAGCAAAAGGCACATCAATGGGTAATGATGAACATGTGTGTGAAGTTTGGTGAACCAAGCATGTAAAGATGTAGAGATATGCTATGGACAAAGTTTCCGGACAGACGGACGGACAGAATGAACGCTATATACCCCGTTACTTCGTAGCAGGGGTATAAAAATGCCGCCCTTATAATTATTAGCACACATTCAGTTATATTTGTTACTTATTATCAGCCACATTTCATGGTTCTATATACAGAGAATACCAAACGATGTCCCGTGTAATACCCTATTTATGAAACGAGTGAATGATTTGGTATCTAACTGGCGAAAGCAAGTTAGATACCAATACCATTCACGAGTTTCATAAATATGGTATTGCACGGGACATAGTTTAGTATTTTATTTATTACTCACCCAACATTAGCAAAATAATATCGAGCAAAGTACCTTTTTCCTAAGAATTCAACGAGTGTGATGACTCTCACCTTTCCGCGAGTCAAGCAAGGTCTAATACTATTGGGACAGAGGTATTAGCATTGTGACGTCATAACTGTAAACCACTTTGGCGTCATACGTACAACATCACGCGATGTTATTACACAATGTCATTTATTGCAAAAATAAAGCCAGGTGACACTGTGTAATAACATGGTAAAATTATTAAACAGTGATATCTTCAACGGGTGAGTAATAAAAGTGGATAAATCTATAGTACCCATGTTTCAAACTGAACATAATCAGGCATTGAGTCAAACTGAGGTCCAAAGATATTCAAGACGAAGTATTCTTATCCAGTTAGCTTATTTAAAAGCTTTGCTAGTGCAATTATAATCATCCAAAACCTCACACCATCCTTATGTTTTGTTAGTTCGATGTATAATGATGCACTCAACAGTATGACATGGGTCTGTCAATAATCAACTCTTGTCTACACAATGCAAGGATGCCTGTCACTGGATTGTGTGGTGGAGACTTGATTGTATTATAGGTGCATGCATGTGAGACATGTACAGTGGAAACCGCCTAAGTAAAGACCGCTTAACTAAACAGTCTTGATAAGTAAACACTTTTCTTTGGACAGGGCAACTTTCTTCATTAATTATAACTATTAGAGTCCGGTTAACTAAAGTCGGATAAGTAAACAATACCGCTTAACTAAACGTCTTCTCACGGTCCATGGAAGTAAATTACTTAACAAAAGAGACTGGATAACTAAATTAGCGATCAACACATAATCCGACATGAGGGGCAGTCGTGTTAGTCTCCAGTCAAACAAACATCCTACTTACAGCTCGCTGGCGTCAAGCAGTTGACAATACACTGACAGCACCGATAAGTTGTTCATTATTACATATGCATACATATAAATGCATATGGTTGTCATTTGCAGGTTTTTAAAAGTTTGGATAAGTAAAATACCTGATAAGTAAACAATTTTGGCGAGTCCCTTGAAATTTTACTTATCAGGTTTCCACTGTATGTGCTATGTGTATGCATGTGTGTGAGAGCAAGTTTTAAAGTGTTAGTTCACGAGATACCTCAAATACCCAGTATACAATGCTTCCTTGATATAGCCCCCTTAGGTCGCGTGCCAGGCAAGGTAATAACAATTTTTTAACGTCTTCGGTTAGGACCAACAATCTTCCTCTTGGCGGCAGGTGCTCTGTCAACTGGACCACTGAGGCGATCAACTTTGAAAGGGTGAATCAAGCTTCCTTAACAACAAAGTAATATGTCCTTCTAGTCATGCCATTGCTTCAGGTTTGGTGCTAGAAACTGGTGTTAGGTTGAGATAGGCATGCTTTCTCATGCTTTCCACAGATGATGATATTAGATTGGAAATGAATGACCGCCTTAATAGAATAACAAAACATGATTCAGTAAACAGTAACAACAGGGATGTTTATTCATGTATTTACAACAATGTTCTTTCAAAGCAGTACAAATGTTAATAAGGATGGTGACCCGATATTTACAGTAATTTCCAATAATTCTATGTATCAAATTCAAACGTTTAGCCAGATATACCATTCTTGAACTAGCACTATGTATCTTTTAAGGACAATGAACGAAACTATTAAAAGACAAATGAATCTATTTGAAATACTACATCTTGCTTATCTATATTTGAGGGTGTTTTTAGTTTTACGCCACTTTTAGCAATATTCCAGCAATATCATGGTGGGGGGACACCAGAAATGGGCTTCATACTTTGTGCCCATGTGGGGACATTACATTTGAGACACTGATGTAATAACACTGAGAGATGTAAATAATTCTTAAATAATTATCCTTTTTAGCATGTACAGTAAGGGCAAAGTACCTGCATGTTCAGTTTCAAAACATTCCACACACAGTTATGGACGCAGGCACCACATGTCATGATTTGTCATTACTGCGTAGCAACTAAGTATGTACACGAGTTGCTCTGAAACTAAAAACCAACTTTTTCACCAGGTTGTCAAACATCAAGAAACATCTTTCATTTATAGTCCAGAATTATGAATCCATTTAGCACACACATATTCCACTTTCCTATTTCTTCATCTTTTCTGGTCTGAAAACATCAAAAAAATGATTAGTTAACAAAATTTGAGCAAATACTGTTTCAATTAGATATTCATTTGCAACAGAAGAATCTATTGCATTAAATCTCTTGTACTTGTTAATTCTTATCTTATGGCTATCCTACTATGGTTAGCATACCAGGGACATGGGTATTAACAAGGAGGATTCAGGAAAGAAGACACGAATAGTTACAGATATAATATTGCATATATGTCAGAAACCTTCAGATGATTATCTTTCAGTACTTGATGGGATAGAAAGGCATTTTATAGAACATCCCTTTCAAAAGTATGGTCATTTTAAGGCAACACATTTAATTACCTTCCTCTAAGAATGAACTTAAGAGAGCAGACAGCTCAGGCGAACATGAAACAACAGAGGTAGCATCAGTGGCTGACACACCCTCCCCTGTTTGTGATGAGGCTGCTGATTCGCTGCCCTCACAATAACCTGGCTGTATCCTCGTCTCACATTGGCTACTGCCACCCATTGAGGTTGCAGAGCTTGCTTCGGATTGACAAACAAGGATTCGGGATTGACCTGGTCGTTGGGCAGGAATTGGGGATAAGTATGAATTCAAATCAGGAGAATCATTCAATTCAAGTCCAGAAACAGTGCTAGGGCTAGTGACAGCTAATGCTATGTACACAAACATATTGAACAACTGGAGCATGAACTTCCGTCCCACTGAAACACAAGAAGCAGGGGTATGAGGTCACACAGAGCAAGCAAGGGTGGAAGGGCTCAAGCAGCATCCAAAGGGGTAGTATGCTCCCTGACATGGGGTTGCCATACCCCGTGATTACAGGTGAAGATAATGTACAGTAAGAATGGTACTAATCACTACACAAGCTCAGTTACTACAATGTTAGTCAATAATGGCAGCCACATACAAACAGGTTGAAAAGAATTCAGAATTAACATTAAATGCATTGTCATATGTCTATAAAACTACTGTTTGACCCTTATCAAACATTCAGTTAGAAGGTAAAAGGACTAGCATGTCAAAGTAAAGGTTTACCATCACCACCAAACAAACGTGAGTGAGTGAGTGAGATGTCTCCAACCTCTCTATCTACTGCATGGTTAGTTTGTGAGTTGCTTGCTGTTTTGAAAAGTGCTTAGGGTTGTACGGCTTTCAATTTTTGCATCTTTAGTCTCAGAGGTACGACTGCACAGTGTTACCGGTATCTGAATACAGATTTCAGTCGATACATATTGCAATGATTTTTTTTCTCAGAAACAGTATATTTGGGTAATAAAATATATGAAGTTTTGTGATCATCTCTATGGGTTAAGTTAAAATCTTTCATTCACACTGAACTTTTCCATAGTGATTATTGACAAAACTGCATACTGCTACGCGCTCTCGGTCTTACTTCTCCCCACCCTCCGGTCTCGGGTCTTACTTTCCCAACCATAACATCGGAGTCGTGCTTTATCCTACACATAAATCTCTTCACCCACTCACTAATGTATGTTAGTATATAGCTCAGTACTACACACACAAAATCCAACCCCCAGAGGAATGTAAGTTAGAGCCATGCAATACAAGTTCCAAGTTCAAAGAGTGCAATGCAAGTTCAAAGAGTGCAATGCAAGTTGAAGGACTGCAATGAAAGTTCAAGGTGAGCAATGCATGTTCAAGTTAGGCAGCTACTGAGTCCAAGGTGCTATGTCAGTGAACATCTGTTTCTGGAGTTGAAACGCACGATTCATCCTTCAAACACAGCTGTGGTCAATAATAAGACATATCAGTATGTAAATCAGTAAGTGAAGGTCCTTGTGGAAATAATTGTTCCTGTTCAACCTTACGAAAGTGACCAATATATGTCTTATTCATCTTGATAAACATTACTAATAAAAGCATTTCTGTCAAGATTTAGAGACTCCTCTGAAGTAACATGGTTAGATCACACATGTTATTGCACACCAACAGGTCATAATGTCTTCAATCTAAACTTACCTCCTGTAGCATCACCATGAGAAAATATAACTGGGGTATCCATTTCATGTGAAGTCTGATCGGACAACTCAGAATCTCGGGCCAAGCTCACACCCTAAAATCATCAGAAACAACAAACTTTTCAGTTGTTCACAACACTGACACCCAATTCAATTGAAATACATTCAGTACAACCATGCATTAACAGTATCTGCATAAAATCATTATTTAATGTAACAAAAGGTATCTATGATTTTAACATGAATCCCTGAATAATCTCATCAGTGAAGCCATTCGCATTTTGTAATGTTACATTCAAAGAAATGCTCATGATGAATACTGAAGAAAATTAGTGCCACAATCACGGCTGCATCCATGTTAAAACTATAATGAAAAAGACAGATTCGTAATAAATTGTCTTATGACAAGCATGGATTGCTGAAGACCAATTCTAATCCGGATCTTCACGGATGAGATGATGTTTATTATGGATGATGGATGACAGATGTATGACAAATAGGCAATGAGAGAGCTTGACTTCTTGGAAAGGGCTAAGCATGAGAATGGGTAACAAATACAAGCATGTCTTACCTCCATAAAAGATTTAGCAAACTCCTCTGCAGCAGCTACTGAGCTGAAAGATGCCTTGAAGTTCCTCCTGACCGGCTCGTCTGTTGAGAAGTCTTGGGCACTCCACATACATGCTCTCTTCGGCATCTCTCTGGATGTATAAACAATCACGGAGGGATGACATCAAGTTTGCAATATCAGCAACATGACACGACAAACCAGGGTCAATCAGGGGTTCAATTTTTTTAAAAGCCACTTGCCACAGGGCAAGTGACTTTAAGAAAGTAACTTGTCCTGACTAATTTTCCACTTGCCCTGATTTTATGACATAATCATGATGATGTAATTATGAAAGAATAACTCGACATGGTATTTGATGTTTATGTTTACTGGACTATTTATTGAAAAGTGATTAATTGCAAAGAAAGATAACTCTACTTTATTATCATTGAGAAATTTAATAGCTACATTTTGAGCAGATATGAAATTAAATCCAAGTTTATTTGCAGTTTGAAACCATAAGTGGAAATTACCATTATTTGATTGCCGGAAATGAAAACTGACTTGTCCTGGGCGTCGGGCGATGGAATTTTTGAACCCCTGTCAATATCATAGGTATGCATCTACACACTGCAAAGACTTTGGTAACTTGACTGTCATAAGCTTATGTTAACTAAAGAACTTGCCATTATCTTCTCATCAGACTGGAATTTCACAAATACTATATAGAAACTGAGTTTCCAAAAATGCGAATCACGTAAACCTGTGATACAGTGGTGAATAGAGACCGATGTTCGTTTATTAAAACATGCAAAAAAACCAATGCGAGTCCAAAACGTAAACACACAAATGAATTCAATGAGACATTGTTAGATTGCGGCATTTAGTAGCGTCACTTACGAGTTATGGGAAATGACATTTCAGTATCAAGCATGGCCTCCATCAGCAGCCTCTTAAGAATGATTGGAACACACAACTGACGAGAATGACTCTCTGACCATCAAACACACCACTTTGACGTGACTTATGTTTTATTTCATATAATTCTTAACATTAGTAAGTCCAGACAAGGGCAAGCACGTACACATTCATTCACACACAAAAACATATTTGCACGACATGCAATATCTTTTTAAGGTGAAGTAATCTCAACTGACTTACAGTCTTATTGAGTGTTCCTGGCAAATGATATGGTTGCAGATTTTCAGTTTGTCATCTGTGTCCATGTCAATTTGGTTTCCATTCAGATCTTTAATGTACAGGATCTTCAGGTTGCCCATTCCAAGTTTCTAGAAAGAAGATAATTCTCAATGAAACTCCAAATACAAGGTATACATCAATGTATCAGTGAATCTGTGAATGTGTTGTAAGTATGTAGATGCAGTGTACTTAATTTGGTTTCGATTGTTATTAAACAGTATTATATAACACCATTTCAGATTAACACATTGAGCCCGAGAGCCACCTCACTACTCAACACCTCGAACCCCTTGCTGATTGCCCACTCGCTGTGTCGAGACAAATTAGTGATAATCACACCTGATTTCCCTGGCAGGTTTTCTAGTTGTACAAACACGTCCTGATTGTTTATTTGTGTCGTATAGATATATGTTGGAAGAAAGCAGGTGTGAATACATATCGCGTATTGCAAAGTTCTACGTAATTTTATTGCAAGCTTCTCTTGTAGACCTTTGGCGGCTTGTACATTATATTTTATCACCATTTGCATGTATTCTTTGTATGTAAGAGATGAGACACACATAAACAAATTCTCCCTCTCATATCATTGTGTGAGGGTTAAGTTTACAAAACATCTATGACAATGACATACTGTAAAGAAGAATTTACTTACATACTTTACCATCTTCGACGAAAATAGCGTTTTTGCCGATACATTTCTAGCGTATACGAATTATTTTAATGAAAGTACTATTACACTATTCTGTGACTAACATAGAGCACATTCATAGCTTGGCATTTTCTTTCATCTAGATTTAATGCAGAAAACATACATGACCATACAAACATACATTTAAAAAATATATACTACATATTCCTTGCATAGAAATAGAAAAAAGAGTCACGTGATAGGGCGTCATCAAATTTCCCGAATAGAACGTTTGGTATCTCAACTGTTCAATATAGTGGCTGGTTATATGTTATCTGTGACCAATCGTATCATGAGATACCTGTCACAGAGGAAAGGACAGGTGATGGGGCGTGGGCGAAATTTCTGAAGAGCACGTTTGGTCACTCAACAGCTTGGATAGAGATTGGTTATTGGCTATATCGTAGACCAGTCGATATGCTGGGTTTCGGCTTTATCAACCCAAGCTATCATGTAACAGTTTGTGTATTGTAAACATACACAGTGGTAACGATGTATGAAATATACACATAAGACAAATAGGAGTAGATAGACACTTTGGTGAGATTATTTGTCCTCATTTTAGTGTTTTTCGATAAGTAAAACAAAGCGATTGAAATCCAACCATTGAGTAGAGATAGTATTTATTTTCATATAGATTTTACGCACACAACTAGTACATAAACCATAATGGTTTCCTGTACATGTAAATATAATCTTCACCTTGATATGAATGAATATCCAAACTAAAGTACACTATTACAGAATTCACGAAATGACACTATACTGAATTATTATAGTGTATATTAGTGTTGGGAATTGGTTGAAATCTCATAATTGATGATTGCTTCATTACCAACGAACAATCATCGAAAAAAATTGGTTAGCGTCATTTTTCAGATTTTCCTATCCAGGTTGTTAATGCAGAAAAGTATAAAATGTTGCAACTTGCTACATTAAAGTGATGACTACTATATCATGAACATAAACTTCCTGGAGTCTTAGAGAAATATTTAGTCATGACTTTTCAGTTAGTGGAGTGAGTTTTCTAAGAAATAAACATGTTTTCAGGCCCTGACAACTTCTAAGATATGTTCCATTGTCAAGTATTTCAAAGACTAAAACAGTAGTTCCAAAATCGTTTTTGTTCCATTATGAGAAAATGTGATCGATTGCTTGGTCGTTTGGTCACTGCGACCAATCTTCGATTATTTCAATTAATCGGAACACTACTAGTGTATATACTTGCAGTTGAAGCCCCCCTCCAAATATTTATGAAGGAGGGCGTGCCTATATTACTTATACTGAATGCAAACGAGGTTCATAAGATTATAGATGTGCATGCATGTATAAACATATCAGAGAGGGGCGTGACTCCATAAAGCAAGTCGTCCCATGATATAACAGCGCATCTGTTTATTTAACACTTGTCACGGGACAAACCTTTCAACAAGGACGTAACTACATATACATTCTACCGGAGGCTGTTATTTCAAGGTCGAAAGAGGTTTCAATTATCTCATTACTGTAATCTGTTTAAATGATTATACGCATGTGTATCGATACCGTAGGTGATATACTATCCAGCTTTTATTGATGATGGATCAATAGAGACTGAGTTCATTGATACACGTGATAATTACACCGGATTTGATAATTACAGAGATCAAATACAAAGGTTTTACACAATGCTCATGAATGAATGAATGAATTGTCTTTTTTTCCTCCAATAATGTCGGAGAGTACAATGAATTATTAAATGAATACAAAATACATGATTATGTACAAATCATATTACAATGGGAAAGAAAGTTAAGCATATGTATATATAATACACTGGAGCGTCGCTGAATGGAATACGAATCATAGGTAGATCCTGCTCTGTAGGTTCCACAAACTAATGTTCCTGGCTACAATGTCAATGAACTGGGCCCACATGTGGATGTCCATGTTGTCCACGATAGGGTTGATGCCGCCAAGTAGAGTGATAACTCTCGAGTCATCAGAGCTACTCTCCAGATTGATGTATGTTTCTAGTGGCAAGATATCGAACAATCGTTCATACATGCTATTTCTTTGGCTAAACAGTTCACTGCAGCACAACAACTAGTGCTGCACAATGTGGTTTATATGTAATAACTTATGATATTACTGCTGCCTATGTGTGAGATATTTTTGAATTACCAACTTACTGTGTTTTGTAACAAACGTAGTAAAAGATTTCATTGTTGTAATAACACTGGCATGTATATATATTCGATGCAAAGGCGCGATATTCGATTAGGTAACATTATCAACTTTAGATTATGGAAAATAACTAGTTACAATTCAGTAAGCTTCAAATTAGTAAGTTAAATTATGTCTAATCTATGTATAATTATTTGTGTTCATACATTATGTTTCATTATATGAAACATGACAACGTAATAATACCTAAAATATAAATTCAAACTATTCTATTGTGTTTGAATTCTTTGTATGTCCTTGACATTTCGTATATTGTTTCCTATTTATAAGGAAGTTGACCTCAGTAACCTCTAAACCATTACATCTAATTAGTAATTAGTATGAAGAATACCAGACACTTACCTCTGTAAAACATCATAATCCCTTTTCTCGCCGACATGTGTTCATTTGCCAAACGCTGTACAAGCCAATCATAATGATCAGCAATTGCTATCAAAACACTTTAAATACTTCTTCTGATTGACACTAAAGGTAGCATCTATCGCAAGAAAAGCTAATATTTGCTCAGTACTACTATATTGGTTGACATAATAGATACAGTGCGATTTTTAAAAGTACAACACACATGTGCGTCTCTCGCTGAATAAGAGGTGCTTTCTGTTGACGAATATATGTGGCTCTCGCTGTGAGAAACTGCCAATTACCGGTCCAATAAACACGTCACTCGCTGTGAGGAGCTGATTAATTTGCCCCATATATGCGGCTCTCGGCCTTAATGAGTTAACGTGGAAAGAAAGCCAGAACAGATGTTTTTTCAGAAGTCTACCAGTTCAGTATACCCCTAAAGCTGTGGTAAAGTGCTCATAACCCTGGAAACGAAGGGACCACAACACAAAATCACTGGTTTCCCGTCCCATTTAATGGAGGCCACCTTGCATACAGAAGTTTAGTGCCTTTGATAATGGTGTCATGAACATCAATTGATATAATGTTGTGTGCTTAAATAGTCAACACAATCTGTCTCAAACTACACTCTCTCAAATGTAACAATATCTCGGACATATTATCCCCTCTCGACTGATTCACAACCTAAATACCTAACAAAATGCCCGCTTATCTCTAATTTCATCACTGTTACTGTTAATCTTGAGTTCTCTGGATGTCCTTCACTTATTATCTTGAATGTCCTGATATGTCTCAGTTACACCACAGTCCCGCTAGCTTCAAGATGACAGGACTCGACCCTAACAGTCTTGTAGTAATGCAACAGCTGGACTTTGAAACTGTTTACAAATCTCTTCCCATGTATGGATGTGCCCAATGTGTGTACTTTCTTACTCTAGTGCATCAACACTGGGCTCCTGTATAGCCATTCCTCTTCTTCATACCTACATTGTGTGAGACACAACATAGCATCAATATCTCACCTTCAACTCATCATTCTCCAAATATGTCAACGTAGCTCTCTTCTCAAACACAATGCTTTCTTCCTCTGTCACAGAGACATCCTGACTTTTGGATTCAGTTGCCGAGTTGTTGGCATTCTTAGCTGGGGCTGCTGGAAATACAATATCAGTTCCTCTTTCAGGTGATAGATAAACTGAGAGGAGCAATATGGTCATATTTATCTAAGAATCTACTAAAATCAGATGACATATATGCCATTAGTTGCAGTCTGAATAAGAAACACAACATTCTGTATGATGTTATTTATGATCGTTCAGGTTTAGATTTAATTACTTTGGTTCACTGGGGAAAATGGTAGTCCGACACATACCAGCTTCTGTTTGTCTGACCTGCTCCTGAACCTCTTCAATCTTCTTCTTGAACTGTCTGGCCAGCTCTTCCGTCTGCAATACATGACTCACACATGAGGTGATGATATACACCATGCATCCAATTTTAACGACGAATGTACAACAAATATTTAAATGTAGAGCCTTCCTTACAAACCCATGATTGGATATTCTGGAGGGAGCCCACTATGTTTTCTTTCAAAGGGGATATTTATTCTTTCAACCAATCAGAGCGGCACGTCTGTGACGTCGTGAGGAATAGATATGAGGGTCGATCCAGAATTCATCTACATTTCAGGGGGTAAATTATCTTGTTTACTGGTTTGTATAAACCTGAAATCGTGACAACTTTTGTGAAAAATGAAAGCTATATGTTTTCACAATCTACTGTCATTTAATTTTGTCTCCTGCTTTGCCTAGTTTCCGAGTTACAACTTGCTTTCATAGGCGATTCTGTCAAAATCGCTTGTTGTCGCTAGGCCTTATTTGTTCGAGCCAGACGCTAGTGATAGTGAAAACGATGATCAGCCTCGCTCATCACGGTTACGGTTAATTTCTTCAACCTAAACAGTGCGACATTAAGAAGGGTGGAGGCCAGTTATTTGAAAATATCCCCAGTAGTTCTTGTCTGATTGTAATAAAGTATCAAAGCAGTGTGGGCTCTTTCAAGTTTTCTAATGCCTGGATGGTATGACTGATCCAAATTGATCCCATTTCTGGTTTTTTTACCTCGATATTTAATCATGTCATGTAAAAATATGACGTCTATTACGCATGATATTAAAAAATGACATTTGATTTATTTGAATCCGTAAACTAAACAACCCTACTTTGCCATTGCTAGAAGAATCTGAAAATTTACTTAGGTAAATAGGTACATAGTTATAGCACACAGCAAATGCTTATATGTATTTCTTATGCAACAATGAAGTTCTGTTCGTATTCTCAAAGTGTCGGCCCATAAGTTTTCACATGCAATTAAAACTGCATGCAATACAGCAATTAATACTGTAAAGAAATTTATTGCGCAGTATTGTCACTTCGACCCCCACCTCGCTTCTGTGGAAGACACCGTTATGTTACAATTAAGTTGTGTCATGCAAAATCCTTTTGGTCATGATTCAAATACATATTTAACTACGAGTAGAAAGTAGGTTTGATTTTCTAGCTTGATGAAAACAAACCATAATCTCATTCATTCTAACAGACTTTATCCCGTGACTTCACGATTTTCAAAAATGGCGGCGACCTGTCACGAACATCCGCTAGTCTGAGGATAAATGCTATTAAGGTTTGTTATGAACGAGTTACAAAATCAAAACTACTTTCTACTGGTAGTAAAATATGTATTTGATTGATGGCCAATAGGATTTTGCATGACATAGCTTATAACATAACAATTTCTCTCGTGAAAGCGAGTTGGGTGCCAATATAATACTACTTACAATATGATTGTCACTTCGACCACAACCTCGCTTCCGAGGAAGAAATCGTTATGTTACAAGTTGTGTCATGGAAAATCTTTATGGTCATCAATCATATACATACTTTACTACGACTAGTAAGTAGTTTTGATTCTTTAACTTCCGTGAAGTGATCTGAACACAAGTAAAATACCGTTCCAGGCTTCCACAACGCTCGCTTCGCACTCACAAACATAACCCATTTAGCACGAACTGCAGGATCCTGTGAAAATCTGTGTATGGTGACACAATCGCCTGACTCCTAGCAGCAATTGACGACAACGCAATGATTCAGCATGTCTTCATTGATGTCGAGAAATCATCAAAATGACGAGCTTGCTACACACTTTATATACAACTAACTGAAAATCCTTCCTCACATGACGTCACTGCAGTGCTCTGGCGACAGAGTTACATAACCTGTCTGTGGTTTCGTTGGTGGGCGAGAGTGAAGCAGGCGACTTTTTTTGCACCTTTTAATCGTTCGGTATTAATTATCCACAAGTTTTTTAAGAATGAATTTGGTGAGAGTAAAAGAGAGGGCAGAGTAAGAGAGAGGGAGAGAGAAAGAGAGAGAGAGAGTAAAAGAGAGAGAGAGAGAGAGTAAGAGAGGGAGAAAGAGAGAGAGTAAAGTAGGGGAAAAGAAGGAAGGGGAAAGAGAGAGGGAGAGACAGCCCCGAGGATACATGATACCCCCAAACCCTTTAAAACGTACATCCTTTCATTACAGAAAAGTTAACCAATCACTGAAGTGTCATCTACGCTGATGCATCGAAACGCAACTATGCCCCAGACATATGTTATCTCTGGTGACTGACCTTGAACCTGAGGGCAAACTGTTCAATCTTTGCCTCGTTTTCAGCATAGTCTTGAGCAGTCCAGCACCAGGCTGTCTCTGATGTTGCCATGGGAGACAGGATCATGTTGGGAGCTATCAGATGATTACAGGCCACTTTATGTACTTGATCTCGCCTCATCAGCATTCGATATTTGTCTGCAATGGTTTACAACAGAATGAAAAACATACATAAATGAGGAACATTGTACTTATCTGAATACATTCTTGGGCCATTAGAAATAAACATTGAACAAAATTTCTGGGTTACGACAAGCATGGGTTACTGAAGATCAATATTCTAACCCAGACCCTTCACGGGTCAACTCTTTCAGTGGAACAGTGGACTGTACATTGAACCATGCCCTAATCATGCCTGTGACAAGCATGGCTTACTGGGGATCTGAAATTCTTCAGAGGCACATCCATAGACTGTCAGTTGGTATTGTAAAGTGTATGATGGCAGCATGTATATGGTAAAGTCTGGACCACGACAAGGCATGCCAATCAATGAGAAGCCAGACTCACCATCTTGTTTGAGGATCTTCATGTCTCCCACAGCTCTCTCCTTCCACTGGTTGGAATCGTGCACAAATCGGAGCAACGTCGACCTCTGACAGTACACCACCTCCCAGCCTTCTTCACCTGTGAGAACATTAAAACCCAAATTAGTAACATTGTAACAATATTGTGTTTTTAATGCTGGCAAGAGAATAGCAACATCAGAAACACAACTTCTATCAAAAGAATTAAAAGAAATACCCACCAACCTTATTCAAATCAAGACAGGCTAAAAACTTAAGGGCAAGCTATGATGCTGCATACAAATTAATTGGGAAAGACAACAATACTACATTTGTATTATCAGGGTATTGTCAGTCGCACAAACATATATAGGGACAAGTACTGGGGCTAGCACTTTCCATCTGGTTGAAGAAAGTACTGGCTCCACAAAACAGACAAAATAAACGTTTATCTTCCAAGGGATATTTCAATTCATGTGCTTTCAACACAATGCACACCAACAACATCCATATCATGAAAATAACAGATCAAAAGTGAGAAATATACTGAGTGACAGAATTTGTATGGAACATTCTCAATATTAGCTTTAATATACACAAATAGTCAGAAACAGGTTAATGGGCATCACATTAGCAGTTCCAGAATGTTTTATTTATAGGGAGAATAATTGATACATTTCTCTTGAAAAGATTTTTTTGGCAGTGATGTTCATTGTACACGAAACATGCCACTTTATGGATGTCAACTTCTTGTTTATTGCATACAGCGACTTTTAGCTTGTTAACGGTGTAAGAATCTACATCTAATCGTTGCTCTATGCAATAAACAAGAAGTGGTCATCCATAAAGTGGTATGTTTCATTTTTTGTGTATCTGCGTAAATTACGCAAATACTTATATGAAAACTCAATTCCTATTAAGTCTATTGCGTACAAGTACGCTTGAATTTTTGTAAATACTCAATAAATGTGATCTTACATGCGTACACACAAAAATGTCAAATCGTTGCTTGCGTACCAGTGGATAGATAAAATAACTCAAGTATATTGAGAGGTTCTATTTCAGGACGTGAACTTGACAACTTGCAGTCTTTCTTATCGTTTCCCATATTGCAGATCAAATGTAAATCACAAACACTAACATTTTAACTCTATTATATTTTTAAAATTAATGGAAAATTGCAAAATACCCAATTGAGTTTGAGTGAGGTGAGTACAAATTATTTCATTACTCAAAGGAAAATTAGGATACCCAATTGAGATGAAGACAAGGGAGTACATAACTCAATGACCCAAAAAGTTATCTGTAGCTCTGCACATTACATCTCAAGTTACCAGAAGACCAGTGTTGTGTGTGACAATCCACATACCCTGCTAAATCCTACTTGGTAAATAGTTTTTGCGAGCTGTATTTGAAGGTGTCTTGTGTCATCAGCCTGTTGAATGGGTTTGACACCAGCAGGACAGCTAGTGACACACACTGTCACGTGGGTACGACAGCAGCATTGAGAGGATTAAGTGTCACTGAGATAGTAACACTGGCTAAGTGTTTTCCATGGACACATGTCCTGATTCTCCACTTGCCTACGAGGGCAATGATAATCATGATGAAGTTAAATTGAAAATCTTGTAATGTTCCTGTGTTTAGTTGCTATGTAAACATTGTAAAACTTCACATACACAAACAGTCTCTATATTCTTCATCAACATCCCTGTGATCATAGTGTTCTGGGACACTTACACTTTCAAACAGAGGCACACTACATACTTGCCATGATCATACATGATGCTTAAGAACAATGTAGCCAATTAGTTAGGCTGGCTAAAAGGACTGATAATCAATGTGAATATTGTCTTTGATAACATCGCATATAAACTTGAACGATTATTGTTTAATATCACTGAAGTAATCTTGAGCAATAATGCTAAAACATCTGAAAATCAACATATTTCATATCACTGATGTGTGTGGTGACACATTATCCATGGATTACCTGCAAAAGACAGTATCCTGAACATTACATAGAAGTATCTCATGAAGACCTAACTTTGTGGATTGTGTGAGTAAATTAAAACATATTTCATTACTATATATTTAGTCAAAGATCATTAATCTCTGATCTATACTGAAGGCCAGCCCGACCAATTAGTCACTGTTAACAAGTTTAGTATAAACATTCTATAAACTAGAGAATTATCTGCCATAAACAATTCCATTCGCCACGAAATTCAAAACAGTGGTGAAAATTACATAAACAGATCCAGGGCTCCAGATAAGATAAAATATGCATGGATAATTCAGATACACTCATAAAAAGTCAGATGTTGTTTACATGTGTAAACCAAACCAGTCAGAATATTGTTTCAGTCTTACACATCTGATCTTAAGAATTCGAATAGTGTTGCTAGTCTCTATTGAAGCGAAGACTGTCTAGTTTTACTGAATGACGACCGCGATCATTCCTAATCCACGTTCAGGGCACAATGTGTTTAAAACCTAGCCCTATGACAGTCAGCAATGATTCAGCTACACGATGAAGGCATGTGCGTAATCAAGTCAAGGTAGAACAACCCAGTGGCTGATATCATGAGCAACAATCCACAGTCAGGGTATGATGACACAATATCAGCCAAGTCATTTTCGCCACGTGACACCTACTGTACACAGTGACATTACATATATATGTCGATCCACTTTCAACCAAAACACTTGGTACTAGGGCTGGGATGGGTCCAAATTTTCTACCCGGGCAACCCACCCTCTATTTCCCTACCCTAATACCCGTTATGTTAATTCCTGACATCAAATTTGTAAGAAATGGCAATATATTCTTCAGATTGGTGGCCAAAATTGAGTTTTTCAATATCTTAACCATGTATTATATTCAAAACAGGGGACTGTAATTTATGTCTCAATCTTCAAAGACAATACAACATTTTAATCATGAAAGAATAACATTTTACATTGTTTAATCTATTAGTCACGTGATCATAACGAGTCCCCTGACTGCTAGAACATGACATCCTGGGTTCATCGATCAACTTGTCCAGTGCAGAACTATAATACGGGTTGCCACCCTCCCCCAGTGCCCTGACTGACAGTGACGGATTTGACAGTCTCCACAACCACTGAGCTGTCTAAGTGGTCTGTGTAGTAACGGTTGCCCTTGCTCCCTGTCCGTTGGGTGCTACTGCTGTGTATCATTGGCTCTACACCTGTCTGGTCAAGCTGAGATGAATAATATGGATTGCCTAGGTCACCTGTTTCTCCAGATCTGGACCTAGACAGAAGTGGTTCGCCCACAAGTCTGTCCAGTTCTGAGCTGTAGTAGGGATTGCCCTCACCACCAGTGCTGTGTGCAAGCTTGGTAGCTGACATGGATTCTGTGACAACTGTCTGTCCAAACTTTGCTGTACAATATGGATTGCCTTTGTCTCTAGTATATTTGCAGCTTTCATCAGGGGTTCTACGCTGGACTGCTCTAACTGAGTCTTGTAATATGGATTGCCCTTGTTCCCAGTACCTTGAATGTCTACACTTGTCATCAGAGATTCAATCCCTGATTTCTCTAGCTCAGCCTCATGGTATGGATTGCCTTTATCACCTTGACCTTGAACATTTGAACTGGACATCAAAGGCTCCACACTGGACAAATCAAGCCCGTATTTATAATATGGATTGCCCTTTTCACCAGTACCATGTATAATTGTAGCTTCCACTTTCTCAGAGTCATCAAGATGCTGTCTGTAATATAGTGTTCCTTTGTCGCCGGTTCCTTGAACAGTCACAGAAGACATATGTTCCTCAACCTCCGATGTATCCAGAGCTTCCTTATAGTAAGGATTTCCCATGTCCCCTGTTGACAGACCATACCTACTGGACTGTAAGGGCTCTACGCTAAGCAACTCAAGCTCAGCTTTGTAATAAGGATTGCCACTATCACCAGAAACCTGCTTGGTTGAGCTTGTCATCAGAGTTTCAACTAAACAGACCAGAGGGAATCATTGCAGTACATTACCATATCAGCCCACATGTACATATTAACCCTCAATAACAATCATTAAAGGTCTTACCATTACTCTTTCTTTCTTTCAGGTATTGGGAAATGGTTACTGAACACAACACTTTCATTGTAAAAGAAGCTTAAGGAGAGGCCGGTGATGACAAAATGTTATGATTGAGTCATTTTGGCATTATGACCACAAAGTCATATTATCACTGGTCAACTTACTGGTGAACAAAACTACAACAAATTGGCATCTCAAAAACTTATATTAACTGTTTTGAAACTGTACCCTGACTTAAGTGAATGAATGAACTTGCCATGAGAATGACAGTGTTCATGAAGGCCTTTCCAAGGCATCACTATTGCTGTAACCCCTCATGACCTTGACATATGTCAGTAAATAAATGATAGAAGAGAGTACCGAGCAATTTATCACAGGGAATCCATTGTTAACAAAAGGTGAAACAACAACAAATTCAATCAAAGTTAAAATTCTGGAAATCAGATTAAGCTGCCTCATACAAGAGGTCTGTGTTTTTACCTACTCCAAAAGTAAATGTCACAAACTCACCCTCAATGTGCTTGGCTGACACATCCCCTTCAGTAGCTGCAGAGGCACCTTTTTCACCACCAGCTTTTCCATCATCAAACTCTTTCTTAAACTGGTCAGCTATCTCCTTGTTCTTAAACTTGATAGCCAGTTGTTCCACCTTGCCCTCTTCCTCAGAGAAGTCCTTGGCATACCAAACCCATGACTTTCCATCACCTGAGCCCATTGGCTTGAGTTCCAGTTCAGGGGTAATCACATGATTGCAGCACACTTTGAAGATTTGTTCTCGCCTCATCAGAAGTCGGTAGCGGTGGGAAGTTTTGTGTTCCAGAATCTTCATAGTGCCAAGACCTCTCTCCTTCCACTCACCCTCACTGAACCTGAACAGGTAAAAGAAACAACAAGTGTATGATAGCTTCATAATATGCCATACAAACATTTATTTATGAAATACCTTGACCCCCTAGCATAAGACAAAGTCATAAATGATATATCCCCTATCTCTGAGAAAAAAAATCTTGAAATGTGTCATTATTTATATATTTATTATAAGACACTTTTATAGCTTAAATGTCCACACAACTCATACATGCTCAAGACGCTGTTTTATCCCCCTCGATCATTGGATGTCAATCTCAACGGCACATCATATTATCAATCTCAACTCCCTGGGGAGCGTACAACTCTTTCAGCCAATAGGAGCACCAAGTTATTGCGTCTTTCCCATCCTTACAAGGTGGAATTGGGGGTACATCAAAACCAGCTCTTGAGCCATGGTCTATTTAAGTAAGATTTGTCTCCGTGTGTCCAACAATTCTGAGGAGCAGGATACAACACAGTAAGCAGAAGATGACTATGTCATTGTTATACACTGAAGATTTGTTGCTTGTTTAATGCATACTCAGCCATATTCCAGTCTGAACATGACTATGAAGTGACCATTGTTGTACACAACAATCGACACCATCATTTACCATGACAAACTATCACATAAGATTGATCACAAGATCCATTAAGTCGCTTAAGAACCTAACCTACTCAGGAATCCACAAAAGAGCTACACACCTGAAGAGTTTTGCCCTCTGTTCAAACCGGGTAACTTCCTCCTCTTCCCCAGTCTTCACATCCACTTTTTCAGGTAAAGACACAATAGGTTCAAAATAGATGTGGGAGTCCTCTCCTTCCTTATTGACATAGTAGTCCCCCTCTGGAGACTTGGGTGATGTCACAGTGGCCTTGGATTGAGGAGTCTTTGATGGGGTAAGGCTGGAGGTGAACTGAAATGGGGAGCCGATTTCTTTCTTTTCTTGGTTCTTGACTGGAGTTGAGACCTTTCCAAGATTTAACTGGAAGCCTCCATCCTTCTTGGCAGAATCAGCTGCAGAAGCAGTAAACCCAGCAAAAGGCTTGGGCTGATTTGCTGCAACAGTTCCACTTTCAACTGGACTTTCCTTCAGTTTGACTGTTGGTGATGCTTTTGACTTGTCTTCCGGAGTCTTTATCACTGGGGTAGCACTGAATGTGAAGCCACCAAAAGATGGCTTTGGTGTTTCTCCAGACTGGACAGTCTTCTCCTCTCCTTGTTTGGCAGACAGGGCTGCAAGGGCAGCTGATGCAGGCATTCCTGTCTCAGCCTGGCCAAACACTGCAGGTGAAGATCCAGTAGGGGTCTGTGTCGTAGTAGGTTTAAAGGCCTGAGACCCTGATGTGGTGAATGGTGATGGAGTTGCCACAGCTGGTTTTGGAGGTGAAGCTTCAGACTTCTTGCCAGCTTCCTGGATTTTCTGAAGAACTGACTTCAATTTCTGAGCTAGTTCAGCATTATCAAAGTTCAGGTTAACAGTCTCCTCTCCCTTCCCATCAAGCTGGGGTCTCTTCCATGTGACTAGCTGTGGGGTGAAGGACGCCACCAGCTTCAGTGTATTAATATCATGGTTGAGAATAATCTGGTTTGTTGATAGAGTCTCCATCCTCACCCGACCACCCTTCTCGGCACCGAAGAAAAACACTTTGACATTTCCTTCCTGCTTGGCACCAATCTTCGATGTGTAGGTTGCTTTTCCTTGGAAAATGCAAACAACTTCAGCAGTGGACGCACTGGGGGAAATGGTTGATGTCACAGGATTCTGAGCCTGCGCTTGTGGTATCTGACTAAAAGGTTGAGGTGGAGTAGGGACTGCCTGAGAACTAGTCCCCTTGGTAAGAGGTGCTGAAGCAGTCTTAACACCAGCCCCGAAGTTTCCTGATGTGAAGATTGGCTTCTGAGCCATCTGTGATGCAAGGGTTGTAGCAGGCTGAGGCTGAGGTTGAGGTTGAGGGTGATGCTGAGGTGGAGGCTGGGGCTGTGGTGCCGCTGGCTGGCCCAGATACTGAGGAATAGCTTGAGCAGCAGGACTTGGTACTCCTGACTGAATCTGTGCAGGTATTCCTCCTATGTTGTGAGGAGAATCCTTGCCCAGGATGGCAGCATATAAAGTGTCTGGTGTCTGGTTCATTGCAGATGCTGTAGTAAGGCCATGGGGTGAGGAGAAGTATCCTGGACCTGGCATTGATGTAGCTATGTTAGATTGACCATACTGTATCGACTGTCCCCTCAGAGATGAGGCAAAGAAGTCACTTTGAGGCATGGGAGGTCTGTTCTGGGGTGCATTGGTTACTGTGGAACTTCCCTCAATGCCCGCCCTGTTTCCATACGGCCATTCAAGATGTGAGTCTGGCACATAGTACTGCCCATGAGGGTGGGCTAAACTTTCCTCAAAGAATTCTCCATCGATGAAGTAAGGATTTTCATCATCATCATCCCCTTCAACAACATTGGACTCATCCTTGCCTATGAAGCCAGTGTGTCCCATGAGATTGGTCCTACTGCGTGAACGAGGGGATGGAGGTCTATAGCCAGGTAAGCCTGCTGGACTAGGCATCTGGTATCCAAACTGAGGTGGACCCATTCCTTGATGAGGGGGGTATGGAGGATGGTAGGGTGAGGCCATGTGAGGTCCTGGGGTAGACTGGCTGGAGTAGTTGTACTTCTGGCTCAAGTTAAGTTGGGACTGAAAACAGGAAATTGTTTTCTGTTATAAAATCATGTTGGTAACGAGGTTGATACACAAGTATTATGAGAAGTATTTCAGTCTATTGTGTTCTTATGCCAAACCCAGCAGTATTCCTGCTATATGACAGATACTCTCAAATAAATGTTTCGGGATCAGACAAACAGTGATCAATATTGTAAGCAATACTGTCAGGAAACAACAACAGTTATCAACTAAGTCATCTAATCTGACCACCCAATCCACTTGGCTGGCTCGTTCAAGTAGCATTGGTTGCAGGGGATCTATTCTAACCAAATATCCCCCACTGTAAAAACATTTGATAAAAAAATATCCATAGAGTTAAGAGAGAAACTGACATAGTGTTAGCCTGTCTCAGCAAGGTAAACCAACAGTTGAGATCCTGAGTGAGTGAGTGAGTGAGTTTAGATTTTAGCAATATTCCAGCAAGATCATGGCAGGGGGACACCGGAAATGGGGTTCACACATTGTACCCATGTGGGCTTGAGATCATGAACATTCTGAAGTAGCCTTCTTTAGTAGGTAGGTAATATAACACTGAGCAAGAGACTTGATAAATCCTTTGGCAATAAGACGAAAATGGACATACAACTGTTCTAACATGTGATGTGATGTAACAATTACAATCAATGTGACACATCCAAATTACAGGAATTATCACTACACAACTACAAACTGGACCTTAAGCTCCCTGTTCTCCCTCAGGGCCTCCACAAGCTGGCTGTTGATCTTGACCAGCTCCTCATTGCGCGGGCAAGCACCATCTTAACCAAGGACTCTTGGGAGTAGGCCAAGGAACGGATCTTGGCATCCATGTGCTCTGGACTTGGTCGGATGTGTCGGCTAGCCTATGGAAGAATAGGAAATGTTGTCGGTTGTCAACTCACCAACGGAGTTACCAGGTGAAACAACCCACACATACAAACCAGCTAAAGTTAAGCTGAGCCCTAATGCTTAATGGTAAAAATAGAAATGCCTCAATTCAAATTAGTATATGGACAAGCTTGTAGGGCCATTTCATTGGTAAGATAAATTTATGTTCCTTTGATGTGAGGTATCATGTATTGTTAGATGATTATCACTTGTTATTTTTCGCTACTTACATCAGATGTGTTGAAGCTGACTTGAGCTGCTGGAGACTTGGTCCTGGATTTCTCCCTGGGCGTGCTGTGGTCAGGGGATGACACGTCTCCATCCAGCTGGATGGCTGTAGGAGTGTGATACTGACTTGGCTCCTCATCCTCATCCCACTCTGTCAAACATGGCAGGGTTTTCAATTTTCTCTAAACTGTTACATCTCCAGGGATAATATCAAATATGTAATTTTCTGAATAAAATTGATATTTTATACTTATCCTGACTCATGCTCTTTTGCTTGTCTTATTTTCTTGCGAACATAGTGGAACACTTGTATCTCCTATTTAAGCTCCCTTCAATAAAGAATAGACGTAAAATCACTCCTACCAAGAGTTATCTCTCCAGCCGTTTAGGCGGGAAACTGTGGCGCCACCGTGCCCTCATGCCTCACTCTCTCCTGATTATGAGCCCGACACTTGAATTTGCAGGGAAATCCAAAGTGTCTAGAGGGGAAGATGGGTGGGCTTACCTCATGAGTCAGGATAAGTATAAAATATCAATTTTATTAAGAAAATTACATATTTTTCCTTATCCTGACTCATGCTCTTTTGCTTGTAGAATCCTACGGAAAAGCCGGTGGGAAAAGCACTTTAGGATTTCTTTAGTGAATTTAGGTCATTATATACCCCCCTATGGGAACTTCGTAATGGCACTGTATTTGCTAGTAAACTCTGCTGCTGTTGCGACCCTAACCTTCCAGCAGCCTTAAAATGGGGGGACCACAAAAGTTAACTTTTGGTCTTTTCATGTGTTAACATTGTATGTGGATTTTGCGACTCTAACTTTTGATGCAAGCACCAAGTGGAGAAGCGACCCATTCCTGTACCAGTATCCTTACAAGTACTGGGTCATATTACTTATGCTAGTTGTTAGACGTGCATATGACTTAAGCAGAACTCCGCTGAGTGAAAACTTAGTAAGTTATGCAACAAAAGGGCGAGACTCCGTCTCAGCGCCTTAGTGGGACTGTCAATTGTTGTGTTACAATAAGTGTGCCGAAATGGTGAATGTAAAAGCCGTCCTCAGTGGCGATGTTCTTCAAGTGATGGTTGGCAACCACCATGTCCCATTTCCAGAAGCAGCCCTCCATTATCGTCCTGATAGAGCGATTTCCAAGTATAGAGAGCGTTGCGCTAGAGCTCTCACTTAATGTGGGTCGGAGGCTCTTGGAGGATCCAGTCCTGCTGCTTTGTAGGCCCGTAGTATGACAGTTCTGATCCAGCTTGATATTGTAGTGCGGAAGACCTTCGTCTGTGCCGCTGTTGATATTGAGACAAAAGACACTTGAATTTCCGTCTCATGGACCTGGATCATTGTAGGTAGACTTTCCATGCTCTTACTGTGGACCCTGCGTATCCTGTGGTCCAAGGGCTGATGATAGTGTTGGGACGTGGAACTGTCTGTCTGGATGACCTGGCAGTTAATTCTTTGCTATGAAGTCCCATCTCAGTCCCATATGCACGATGTTTGAGTTGCATTAAATCGTGTTCTCTCAATCCAGAGCATGTATTTCTGACATCCTTGCTGCTGTTACTAAGGTTATCAGGAACAGCGCCTTCTGTGTCAAGAACTCTAATGATGTTCTCTGTAATGGTTCGCAGATGTCACTAGTGAGATGTCGTAGAACAACGCTGAGGTCTCATACCGGAGCTTTAAATCTCTGATGTTGGTCCTCCAATTAAAGGGCATAGTAAGGCCAGTAACTCTGATACTTTAGTTAGTTGCACTCGTCCTCATGACGATAACTGTTCTCAATGCCGCTAGGTATGTTGAGAGTGTTGACCCATTTTACCGCTTCCTTTGTCTACGTGACAAAGGTAGTCCGCCACTTGAGGATGTGTCACTTTCATGGCTGTGAAGCCGATCCTTGAAGCATATCTTTTGTTTCAAAGCGTCACTACTTGTCGTCAGACAAGTTGCGTGAAGACTTGCGTAAAGCTAGTGTGTGACCGTTTTCGCTGCTCTGGCGAAATATCTTCTCTTGTTCAAGCATGTCTGATGCAGTCCACACGTGTAGTCGGAACACCTCTGGGTTGCCCAGCGCCTGCATTGTGTGAGGATGTACTAGTAGATTCGTACACTCTGGTAGTTGCAGCAGTAGAAGCAGTCCTAGATCTTGTATGGGAATAGGAATTCATATTAATGCCTTCGCGCAGGCTCGGTGATGACATGTAGCGTTCTGCAGTGTTTCTGCGTTGTAGATTGTACAGTAGAGAGACTAAGTACTGCGATGTCTCTGCTTCGCTGGAGATCTGTATGGGGATCTGCGTGGAAGTCGGCGAGGAGATCGATGTGGTAAATAGCCCGACGAACTGTGCCTGTAGGGTGACCTGTAGGTACGCGAAGGTCCTGGTGAATCCCTCGACGATCTTTGGGACGAAGATGCTTGTATACTGTAGCTGACGTCCTTCGTGAAGGCTCAACTGAATCCGTACTTGGGGAGTGGCGACTGGTGCTTTGCGAATGCCTACGCGAACGCTGTTCGTCCGATTCTGTATCCGGGAATGGAAGAATTTTCCTTCGCGAATGCCTTCGCGAACGCTGATTCCGCATGTGGAGGATGGCAACTGGTCCTTCGCGAACGTCTTCGCAACGCTGGTGGTCCGGTTCTGTAGCCAGGGATGGAAGAATTTTTCTGGGGGGATGGCGACTGTTCCTTCGCGAATACCTTCGTGAAGCTTCATCTGAGTCCGCATCTGGGGAATGACGTCTTGTCCTTCGCGAAGCTTCATCTGAGTCCGGGGATGGCGATTCCTCCTTCGCGAACGCCTTCGCGAATGCTGATCGTTCGTGTCCGCCGCAAGGGGATGGTTGAGTAGACCTTCGTGCAGGCTGGCCTGTAGTGTAGATCTGCTGCCAGATGTCACATTGATGGAGGGTCCCTCAGAGACGACGTCTGCGTTGGAACCTTCGCGAAGGCTCGGGACCTCGTTGTGGGCTGTGACTTCTACTCCAGGCCGTAATGTTGTTCATCTCCTGCATACGGTTCCCCCGGTTTGAAGGTCTGCGGTGGTAGTAGCGCTGCCCTTTCTGCGTTGATAGCGACGTGGCCCACAGGACGCTCATCTGTTGTCATCGTAGATACCTCTGGTACCGTGGAGATCTGCGCTGAAGTCACCGTAGCTGACTGGTCGTTACTTGTGATGAACCTCTGGGAAGATGATCGGTTGATCATTGGAGAGTCCCTGTACCCTCAACGGAACAATCTCGGCAGACAAAGTCCTTGTAGTCTGCGTAGACGTCCCCGTAGAGTTGTCGTCAGGTAAGGGGTGTGTAGCCTTCTCTGTGTAGAGGATGGCGTCTATACATCGTCTGCGATGATTGTAGAGCTGCCATCTCTGCGTTGATAGCGATATGGTCCGGAGATCGCTCATCTGTCACCCTCGGACTGTGCTGTATCTCTGGGAAGATCAGCAGTGGCTTAACATGAAGCCCTCTTGCTGGCATCAGGATGAGGCTTCATTCTGCGTAGAGGATGGCGTCTTCTACGTCTGTGTTGAGGGGTTGTCCGATGTAGAAGCCAACGTCTTCGAAGTAAGGCGGACAACATCCCACGCCCATCCTCCCGAGTACACCTCCGGCAGCTCACTTGATGGTAGTAAGTCGTCTAACCGCAGTAGACAGCTCATGAGGGACTCAGCCAGTTAACCAAAGACTTGGAAGTCACCTGGATAGATGATAGTACGACTAAGTACGGAGAAAAATTACATATTAATTTGAATTTCAATTAAAAGCTGATAAAGATTACAGCTATAGCTGGAAGTACATATAGTTGTGCAGCTAGGGCACAATCAACGTGGGTCTGCAGCAGCGAAATTAGTTTATCATGAAATGTAAACAAC